TCATAATTATTTTCGAATTTTTTTTATTTTTTTAAAATTTTATTAAATTTCGGTCGTTTTTATTCACGTCTAATTGAAGTCAAAATTTTCATTAGATACCACGAAAAGTGCAAATAACAAACGTTGTAGATATTGTTTCTGGCTACAATTTCATCTAAGATAATTGGCATCTATCTTTAATATTCATCAAATCCGGTATGGGTAACGATCGAAGATTAAATTTATTATTTTTTGTCAATTTTATTTGGAGTATAATTTCTCTATGTAAAGACGTTCAATTTTGTCACAAAATATATCATATGATAGCCCTAGTTTAGGGGAATCTAATAAAAAAAAGTTTGTGCAATTTAGATCACTCATTGTGCCACAATTAGCATTTTAATTTTAGTAATTTTTTTAAAAATTTTCAGGTGGTCCAATACTTTTGGCAGGGGAGTGTACATATGATAACAAACAAAGATTTGTATCAAATATCAAATGTAGATTGAGATTTGTAAAAATTTAAGACTCAAACTATTATAATTGAAGAAAGAAAAGATAAAGTATTAATAAAATTATATTTATTAATTACATGTAAACATTGCTGATTCTTGAATAGGTGATAACATTTGATTTTCTTGACTTAATAAATAAAATAAAATTAATAATAATTCAAATATTTAAATACAATATACTTACTCATTTATAAATTCACCAGAATCAGTAATAAAATTAATTAATAAAATTCCAGTTAAAAAAAGTCTATTATTTTCTTTCCATTCCTTTTGTTTCCAAGTAAAAATTATTTTATTTTCCTTCATTATTTTCAAATAGAATATACCCACATGTAGAAGTATCCTTATTTTCACAAAATATAATTTGTTCGTATTTTAATATACTTTTTAATTTTTCTTCACCTATTGCACCTTCCAAAATACATTAATACTTTCGTTAACTTGACATATATTTGAAACTGTCTTCATTTTAAAACAAAGTTAAAAATATACTTTCTGGAAATGCATTTGTTATATGTTTTTTTCCAATCGAATGTCGATTAAATCCAAGACTACTCTTTAGACGAATTATTATTGCATCTCTATAAAAAGATAATGTTCATTTTTTTGTTAAAAAAAACCTTCGCGTTCACTCAATTTGTTATCACGTTGTTTATCATTTTTATTGATCGAAATCAGATGTGGCAAAATCGAATGTAAACATATGCGGATGATATAATCGAAGTGAGCCCATATGCTTTAATTATTAGATCATTAGATAAACAAAAAAATCAATTGTGGGTTATTATTTATTTGAAGTAATTATTATACACATCAGCATCATAAAAGTTAGTGATTTTTAATGAAAAAGAAAATTGGTTTCAAAAAGTAAACCGTTTATCGGTGGTACAGTGCCATTAATTTTGGCTTATATCATGTGATCATGATAATCATAAATCGCGAGATTAATTTTTTCAAAGGCGTACAGAAATATTAGGTATCTTTTTTTTCGCTTTTTCTTCCTCAAGCTTTTAACTATGTGTGATTCATATTTCTCCGAAGCGGAAGCTGAAGAATGGTCTTTTCTAGACTTTTATAAACACCGTAGCTGTCAAATAGATTTTACTAAGTCCATTAAAAGAGAAGCTCTTATTCTAAAGTCTCTAGAATATCTGTTTAAAACGGGTTCGGAAAAGGCCAAAAGTCTTCTAGATGTATTTAAGGTAGGCAAGCAATACTTTTCCTTCTCAAAATTGTAATGTGATTTATCCTACTTATGACTAATGAGGACAAGCTTCGTGTCGTCACTTTATGATGTTTCGTGATCGTTATGCAACCCATGACTAAGGAGGACAGCTACATGTTGTTACTTTATGATGCTACGTTATCGTTATGGGTTAAGGGATAGTTAAGGATTGGTATCCATGACTAAGGAGGACAAGCTACGTGCTGTCACTTTTATGATGCTACGTTGTGGTTTCATAGGGGTACTAGATATTTTTCCTATGAATTCGTGTTTCCCTTCAATCTACTTTGAATGAGACCATTCTGTTGGTGGACAGCTACAACTTTATTTTTTTTTTATGGAAACAATTCTGATGCTTCGCATTTTTTTTTTTTTTTATAAGAATCATCGTGGTAACTGTGCGGATGTTGATGCTTTCTGGAATGTGATTGAAGCCATCCTAGCCGAACAAGCACTGGAAATGACAAAGGCAAATTTCCACGAAATACTTCATGGCACATTGGACCCATTTTTGAGTTAATATTTTTCCTTAATATTAAATTGGAGCAATCCAAAGTATTTTCATGGGAGCCACCACATACACTGATGAACTGTTTAAGACTGCCGTGGAAAATTTGGTGAGAATATTATGCGTGTTGTTGTTTTGTTTCTCGCAATTACATACCACCATTAATGAGGTATTTTTAGAAAAACGATAAAAAACGTTCATTGGGGAAATTAAATAAGGAACCACACCGAATTTCGGAACATCAAATAAAGCAAACAAGGATAGACCGCCAAAGAACACCTTAAAATAAGTAGTAACAGGAACACGTAAAAATTTGGAACCAAATTTGCCCATGTAAATCCAAATATTCTAGCATATTCCAAACTTATCCAAATATTTGAAAATTTTCCAAATATTTTTAGAGCCGAACTAACTATATGATTTTAAGCCAATCAAAATTGTCAAAATTGACATAGATTTGATTAAATCGCTGTCAAAAAATAATTGTAGAAAATATCACAACAATGGGGTGGTCAAAAATTATTTCACCTTGTTCACGGGCACGAGAATTTTCAGAGGATCTTTTCGCGGATAATAATAAACTTTTTTGCAAGTTTTGTAATATAAGTATTAGCTGACAAAATAAGGCCACTATTACTACGCATATAAATTCAAAAGCCCACAAAGATTCCCGCCGTTCATATGTTGCTGCCAATCGTAATGACCGTCAACAGTCTCTTCATGCCACAATGGTGGTCGCAGATGGGAAAAAACAAATAATTAAAAGCCTGGGTAGAAGCAGATATTCCACTTGAAAAATAAACAAACTTCGAGATTTTTTTAAGAAGTATTGTAGAGAGGGAGGTTCTATTCCTTTAGCTGATAGTATTCGAAAACATCATTTAAGTGGTATATTTGAGCAACATTATGAGCAACTTCGCGAAATATTTTGTGGTAAACCAGTTTCTATTATAATCGACAAAACTACAGACAAAAAAGCCCGTAGTGTAATTAATACACTTTTTAGTTATCGAGGTCAAACAAAATTAATTTTATATCCCAAGTAAATAACGTTACAGTAGGTCAATTAGTTCATAATTTTATTTGAATGGGTGATACCTTTTACCTGTCCATATCTTATTGTATCAGATTCGGCAGCTTATATGAAAAATCTGTTAGAGAAATTTTACAACCCGTAATGTCACAAATTCGACATAATACATGTTGTGCACATATTATTCAATTGATAAGGTTAATTTAATATTTTTAATTATGTATTAATAATAGTAGCTTTTATTTATTAGTCAAGCATGGACAAATATACAACATTTTGATGATATATGAAAATTAATTACAAATATTAAAAAAACTATGGTTTATTCTAAAGCACGGCGATCTAGATATATGGATTATCTTCAGCGACATGGAATTAAAGATATTGCAACTAAATCTGATAATAGTTTAAATTCTCAAGATCCTCAACAATTAACTTTATGTTCTATGCCATTACCTAATACAACAAGATGAAATTCTTGGTTTCGAATGACAATATATGTTTTTGACTATTTGGACTATATTCAAGGATTTTATTCTGAAGAGCATGAACTGGAATCTAATGAAACCATTGAAAATATCATGTCAATTTTTAATGATAGAAATGCAAATGGGTTAACGGAAATATATTTAGCTTTTATTCATTATCATTCACGTCAATTTATATTGGATACTGATTTTTTTCAAAAGGAAACAGAACCTATTTTTCCTTTAATTGAAGCACGAATTCAGCAACTTGAAATTTATCTCACTTATGGAACAACTGCAACGGATTTTGGTAATGAAATTAATAATGTTCTTTCTAAATATAATACTGAATTATCCACTTTCATTCCAATTTTTCAATCCGCATTTAATGCAGCCTATAATAAATTTTCTATTCATTTTTCTAATCATCCTTCCTGATCACTTTTTAAGGTGGTCCGTATTTTTGATCCACGCTATTTGAAATTATCTTTATCAAATCGTGATATTCAAAAATAAAGTTCTGATATTCCACAATTATTAAATCCATCTATAGAACTTCTGCAAGAATGGTCTTTATATTGTAATTTTGAATTAATTGAAATTGATTATTCAAATTTTCAAAATTTTTTGGGAAAAAATGGCATCTACTTTTCCTCTTTTAAGTGAGATTGCATTTGATTATATGTGGTTACCTATTTCTTCTTGTGCTGTAGAATGGAGTTTTTCAGTTTACAATAATATTCTTAGTGATAATAGACAAAATTTAAGTACTGAATCACTTAAGATATTAAATATGATGTATTTTAATAACTTAGATTATTAAAATTTATGGTTTTTTAGTTATCAAATATAATCCAAATATTTGCGATTTTCCAAATAAATATTTGAAATAATAAATAATTTTTACGTCGGAGATGCAAATAATAATGTGACTATCTTGTTCCAAAAGAACCAATTCAAAATAATTATGCCATTGATCTTCAGCATTTAAAGCATCATCTGATTAAAAAAGGATAAATCTATTTGTGATTGTCACCACTGGGCAAAATTACATAATTCCCTAACTTTGTTAATTTTGCCCAACAGTGACTATCACCAGTATACTTTTAAAAAAATTATAATATTGCCTCCTCTCATAATTATCACGTGCGGAACTCTTTATTAGTACGATTCATACAGTTATTTTATTAGTATGATTCATATTAATTATTTTGTGGATATTTTTAGTCGTAAAACAAGCACGCTAGTCTATCCGTTCGCACGGACCATATCATCATCCAGTCATCATATGCTTCTTATACAAGAAATAGTAATTTGATAACATTAAGGATTTTGATTGTACCCCTTCTCATTTATTAAATGTTTCGTATGACAAAACAAATAATAATTAATTAATTGACATATCTGAAAAAATTTACTTTTTTAAACTCAATAATTTGATTAATAAATATAGTAATATTTTTTTTAGATCAAAAAATTTTTTTTCTTTAATTTTTATCTCTTTAAGCCCCAAACAAAAAGAAAAAAACAACAATAAAAATAATGACTAATAGTAATATTCCTTTCTGGGGTCACAGGTAATTTTCTAAAGATTCTATTGTTATTATTATCATTTTTATTATTATTTATTATTATTTATGATTTTCGCCTTTTTTTTTACACATTCAATTTAGCACCTCAACATTGGATTGGTGTGAAGTAAGACATTTATTATTAATTTGTCAATAATATCAATAATCAATTAATTGAACTAATTGAATTAATTGAATTCGTTTTTTCATTTGTAAAATCAAAGGAAAATTATAAAGATCACAAATGTATTGCCGAATTTATTAATACTTTAACGAATATTCTTTTTAGTAAGTTATTTTAAAATATAAATTGATTAAATTAATTTATTATTATTATTATTATTATTATTATTATTATTATTATTATTATTAAATTATTTTCAATTCATTATGACCAAATAAATAAATCAAATAACCTTTTATTTTTCTAGTCGGTTTGGCATTGTTCGGAGTATATAATACTGCAAAACAAAGATTGGAGAAACGATTTATAGTAGCTTATGGTGGTATCGCTTTGATCGGTATTGGATCTTGGATGTTTCATATGACATTATTATATCAATTTCAGTTATTAGATGAACTTCCAAGTATGTATAATTTTGAAATTATATAATTTAGATTATTTTTTGATTATTTTTGATTTCTAATTATTTCAAATTTTCAGTGCAATACGCGACATGTATATTAGCGTATAACATGTAAGAATACATATTATTTTTATTCTTTTAAATTTATTTTTTACAAATAATTCTTTAATAAATAATTCTTTTTTTTTTTTTTTTAATAAATTCATTTCCAGTTTCGAAACAGGATCTAAAACGAAATATGGAATATACCTTCCATTAGGTTTATTAACTTATGCTATTGGCGTCACAACAATTTACTTGCGCATAGTGAATCCTGTCTTTCATCAAGTTACTTATGGAATATTGGTTACAATAATAAATGTCAGATCATATTATTTACTTGGTTTTATTCCTAAAGGTAAAACTCATAAAACTTTAAAAGATCTTTTATTTGTTGCCTGGACAATATTTGGAACAGGTTTCGTATTTTGGAATATTGATAATATAGCATGTGATAATTTAAGATTAATTCGTGCCAAAATAGGGAAGCCATTTGGTTATTTAATGGAATTTCATGGATGGTGGCATATTTGTACCGCAATTGGTGGTTATTATTGGATTGTGTTTAATCAATATTTGAGAGTTTTATTGTTGGGTGACATAAGTAATTGGAAATTGAAATGGGGATTCTTTGATAGGATTCCTTATTTAGTAAGAAATACAGATTTTAATATTAAGAAAGTTAAATAATTTAAATAATTTAATGATAATTATTATTAATTAATAGTTTTATTATTTATTTTTATAATTTTTTTATTTAATACTTTAATTGTTGAAATTATTATTCATACCATTTTTTTTCATTTACTACTGTTAACATAAATTTAAATATTTAGATCTAATTTCCTAACTTGGTATAATTTTTTTTTTTAAGAAATTCTTTGTTTAGATTTTTTTTTTCTTTTTGAATAAATGTACAGTAGAATAAAAAATTGAAAATTGCTAAAGCTCACCGGTGGTGATTGACACCACTGGGCAAAATTAAATTTATGTGGGCAAAGTTAGGGTTAGGTGTTGATCAGGGAATTATGTAATTTTGCCCAGTGGTTACAATCACCACCTGTGAGCTTTAGCAATACCCTAAAAAATTTATCTCGAAAAAATTTTTTGTGATCATAGAAAAATGTATTTCTCTCTCTCTACCGAACCTGCTATGTTAATAATTAATCGAGTTTTTTCAAAATCTTTAGAAACTTTTGGAACTCGTTATCTAATAAAAAATTATATTAGAAATCATCATAATCAAAATGGTTTCTCATTAATGAGGAAATTAATGAAGAATATTCAAAATAATAGTTATTTTAGAAGGAATTATCATACTGATACGACAAAATTACCAAATAAAGTACCATTTATAATAACTCAAGAAGGTAAAGGAATTCAATCACCACAACCAATAATTGGAACTTCAATTACAGAGATCGAACAAACTGTTGATTCAAAATATGGGTTTTTATTAAAAAAATTTTCTATAAATTATCCATAAATTGTCCATAAATTTTTATCATCTGATTTTATTATCTGATTCTTATATTTTTCAAATTAATTTAAATTTTTTTTTTTTTTATTCTCGTCAATTTTAGAAAAAAGTATAAATTAAAATGGCCAACTCCACCTCAAAATGTGTTAATTATTAAGAAACCAAATACGACATTTACGGCAGATAGGACATTCGTTGAAGTCATCGAGTAAAGAAAATTTTAATAAACCAATGTTTAATTTAATGTTGTTTATTGTTTTATTTAATGTATAATTTAATTGTTTGAATTTTTAGATGGTTACATGAAACTTATCCCAATTTAAATATAATTATTGAATCTGAGGTTGCAGAAAAATTTAGAGAACTTAGAGAATTTGCATATGCTGTGTCAAAAGGTTTATTTACTGGAATCAGAAATAATAATAATTCATAATTTATAATTTATAATAATGAAAAATAATAATTGATTATTATTAATTTTAAAATAATTTAATATGAAAATAGAACAAAAATCTGAATTTTCTCGAATAGTGGATTTTATAATAACATTAGGTGGAGATGGAACAATTTTACACACTTCATCACTCTTTGATCAAGCTGTTCCACCAGTGATTTCTTTCTCAATGGGAACTTTGGGATTTTTATTACAATTTCGTATCCACAAACATTATTATTTGAATATTTGAATATTATAATAATAATAATATTTATAAAGATTCACAAAGTTATTTCATAATTATTTTTAATTAATAATAAAAAAAAAATAATAATAATTAATTAATACTTAAGATATCGAACATTATCAACAAGCAATATCCGATTTGATTAAAGGAGATGTTTCATTATTACTTCGTATGAGATTAGCTTGTTCTCTATGGACTGCAGAAAGTAAACGATTGGATATTGGTAAATATTTATTTTAGAATAATTTTTTTTAATTAACATTTCATAATATAATTAATTATAATATATAATATTTAAAGGAGATTTAGTAGATTTACAAGCCATGAATGAAGTTAGTTTACATAGAGGAAGATTTCCAAATTTAGCAGTTATTAATTGTTTTGTTGATGATGAGTTTTTAACAGAAGCTGTGGTATTTGTATTAAAGAAGATTTTTGATTTTTGAAAATTGGGTGATGATTATAATAAATTGATTATATAAAATTAATTATATTAAAGGCAGATGGGTTGGTAGTTGCTACACCTACTGGATCAACTGCATATTCATTATCAGCAGGTGAATATTTTATATATATAACATATTATTATTAATAATTTATTTTTTTATTTAATTTTTATTGATGGAATTTTTTAAAAAAATTAAAGGAGGTCCAATAGTTCATCCTTCAGTTCAAAGTCTTTTGATTACACCAATTTGTCCAAGATCATTATCATTTAGACCTGCTTTAATTCCACCTACTGCTAAAGTAAAATTGGAGGTAAAAGAATTGTAGCATTTAAAACAAAACAATATATAATTAAAAACAAATACCAATAGAATATATTATATCAATTATTAAAATAGATTTGTGGAGAAAGTAGACTCACAGAAGTAACCATTGATGGTAAAAAAATATGTATGTTAAGTCAAGGAGATTTCTTGGAGGTATTTATTATCTAAATTAATTATTATTATATTATTATCATCTTTTATAAAACCAAATTGAAAATAAAAAATTTATTATTACTATAAAAAAATAAAATTTTATAATTATATAGGTAAAAATGTCATCATATCCAATACCATGTGTAAATAGAATTGATAAAGGTATAGCTTGGGTTAAAGATATTAATAATTTATTAAAGTGGAATCAAAGTTTTGTGAATAAAAAACATCTTATTCATGAATTATTTGAAACTTGAGTATTTTAGATTTAGTAATAATAGTAATTGTTATATATATATATATATACATACACATAGATAATTTAATGTCATTTATAATTAAGAAATTGGAAAGATATTTTAATTTTATCTCATTTATTTTTTATTAAAATAAAATAGAAAATTATATTATGCTAAAATGAGCTCATTGTAAAAATATAATAAAATATTATAACTATTTAAATATTATACTATGTATAATATAATATATACTATTATATTATTAAATTTAGAAATATAGAAGCCTTGTAGCATATATTTTCCTTTCCTCATCCAAGTAAACAAAATGTGTAATAACATCTAAAGAAATAATTTATTATTAACTAATATCATTAACTATTATTTCTGTCATTTCTTTTTCTTCTAGCAATCTTTCATTTCGTTTTCTCATTTAAAATATTTCCTCAATTAAAAGAATCATTAAAGAATCGTTAAAAGAATCATAAAAGGATGCAGGGATCTGCTCCCACCTCTTTTTATATTAATTATTTAATTATTCAATTGATACTGCATTATGACACCATTTTAGTGGCTTACATTGAATCATAAATTTTTATATGTATGTACTTCTCACAAGAATAATTAAATAATTAATTAGCCAATGAAGCTATAATCAAGAGATTAGATTCTCAACTTCTGTTGTTACTACTACTTCCATGATTTACCATCAAATCTACAATCACCTTATCTATATTTTTTTTTTAATTTTTATTCACCTTTCCCTTCTTTTTCCGCGAATAATCGTTTATATCGTTCATTTTCTCTCGTTAATTCGGCAATTTTAACTTCCAAACTAATAATTCTTTCTTTCATTTCTTCATTTTCAGCATTTAACCTTTCCGCTTGTTCCCTTTTCCTTTTTCGTGATTCATAAGCGGCTGCTCGATTTTTAACCATACGTTCTTGACGTTTGTCTCGAAGTGCTGCTTCGGCGGCTGCTTCTAAAAGTATTGGCATTAAGTTTGTCTTAACTTTAGTTGTTGAAATAGGTGTACAAGTATCTGGGGTAGTTTCTAAAGTAAAAGAATTCGTAGTTGAAGTCATTGGTGATAACCTAATGCTACTTGAAGATATTGTTGGAGGTCTTGGTAATAAAGGTTTCCAAGTTACATTGATCGTTTCTGAGTCATAACTAATCTTATTAAGTGGCTGTGTATGTTCATAACCTTTTTTCGTCTTTTTAATTAATCCTTTTTGCATTTTTTCGTAATTTTAATTATAAAATAAAAATAAGAAATGGTTTTTTAAGAATACCGCGCTTTTTTAAAAAAAAACCTCCTCGAAAATGAAAATAATAAATAAATAATCATATGATTATACAAGTATTGAATGACAAAATAACATTTGCGTGAATGGAAATTTATATATCCTATTAAGGAAATTGCTTAAAGCTAAACTATATATTTATTAAAAAAACAAATAAATAGTAGATTCTAACTTTAAAAATTTTAAATTAAAAAAAAAAATGTCGGCGGCTGCGGGAAAAGTTGTAAGAAAGAAAATTAAAGAAGCATTAAAAATACCGACAAGTTTAATTGATCACTCAGTAGCAATGAAAGGAACAGCAGAAAAATATATTTCGTTTCAAAAGAAAGCACATTTAGATAAACAATATAAACCTTTAGATTTTAAACCAAAATTTCAATATATAAATATGTTTGGAAGAGCAAGGTGGAAAGCACCTAGAGTTAGTTTAAGGAAATTAAATGACATGAGAAAAAATTGTGAATATTTAAATATTGATCCTCATAGTATTGGATTGCCTGATAAACCTCCAAGGAAAGTTCTTAGAGCTAAACCTAATAAAGGTAAAAAGCATGAAAGAAATGCTCCCGAAAGGTATTTAAAATTTTTAACTTTCTTCTTATTTTATTTTATTATTATTTGAACTCAGGGGGTTTTTTTTTTTTAATTAATATATTCTGAATAACATTCATTTCAATATACATTCATGGTAATAGAAAAGCAAAGATTGCAAAAGCATTGGAAGAAATGCCAAAAACTATCGAAACTTGGAGATTGGTAATTTTAATTAAATTAATTAATTTAAATAATTTTAATTAAATATAATTATATTTATATTTATATGTATTATTTATATTTATAGGAAAAACTTAAAGAAAAGGAAAAGAGCAAACCTTCTTTACCGTTTTAATAATAATAATAAAAAATCAAATTATTAATTTATATATTTTACAAATATAATTTAATCAATTCATCACTAACTCCAGAAGGTGTCAACACTCCCAAATCTGTACATAATAATGTAATATAATCTGGTGGAGTGTAATCTACAGTTGGATTTATTGACTAAATAAAATGACGTTATAAAATACTTTATATATAAATATTTTAATAATAATAATAATTCAAAATAATTAATTTTATTTTTAAATTTACCTCATAATCATCTACATCCATATTTTCCTCTTTGATCGATTCACGATTTTCCAAGTCCGGAAATGCAAGTAGATCTGATGTATGTGTTGGAAGATCATATTGGTTTAAAGGAAACAGTCGAACAAATTTATAGCTAAAGGAAAGAAAGAAAGAAAAAAATAAATAAATAAGAAAAGAAAAAGCAATATTTAAAATTATTTAGAAAATATCAAAATAACTAAAATTTCATTAAATTATTTCTTTACCTCTCAATAACAGCATAAAATGGTTTATTAGCAGCTTTAGCAACAATAGCTAACTGATAAGTTCCTATCTGAAATTAATTAATTCATATATTTGAAATTATTTAAAATTATTTAAAATTATTCAATAATTGATAAAAATAACAAAAACTTAACTCACTGCATTAATCAATCCACCATTTTCAACAACACCTTCAGCTCCAACAAAAACTGCATCCACTTTATCAATAATATAACCAACAACAGAGTCATAAATTACAGTTGCTGGAATTCCTGCTTCGCGTAATAATTTTGTGGCTCGAATTCTAAAAAATAAAATCATTCGAATAAAAAATAAATGATTATTTTTATTGTAAAGACGGACGATATTAAAAATTTTATCACAAGAAAGAAATATTCACTTACCCTAAATATGAAGGTCTAGATTCTGTAACATAAACTTTAAATCGTTTCTTATAAGCGGCTGCTCTTTGAAGAAGTAACATAACCACTCGTGAATAAGAGTGAATCAATATTACCTAATCTCATTAATTTCATTTGTTTTTTTTTTTTTAAAAAAAAAAAAAAAAGAAAAATTATATTTTAATAAAATCTTATTTAAAGATAAAAAAGATGAAAAAAAAATAGTAATTTCAGGTTCATTATAAATACATACAGCATCATCTTTAATGAATTGTACTCCTAATTCAGCAATTTTCTCTCGAACAGCTGCGGCCTTTTGAACAAGAACTTTTCCACTGTTCATCAAATGTTCTTTGCATGCTTCAAAATTCTTTTAAGAATATAAAGAATAGTTAAATTTAAATTAATGAAATTAATGAAATTAATGAAATTAATGAAATTAATTTCTTCTCAAGCGTATTTCATCCATTTACCCACCGTTACATCATGTGAAGTTCTTGTAACGAATCTCATAAACAAATCCGCTCCTGCTGATAATGAGATCGAATTTTTAACTGAACTTTTAAGTTTTTGACTAGCATCTTTTAAAGATTCCATAAATTCTGACAATGTTGTCGCTAATGAGAAAATATGAGATCAAAAGATTTAATATTTAATCAAACAATCAAATTGAGTAATTTGAATTATATATTTTATTGTAATGTAATGTATTTATAATTATTTGACTTACCATTACTATGTTTTATCAATTCCGCCAAAGATTCAATAGCAGCAATTGACATAGATACATCCTAATCTCAAAATTTTAAAAGATATGATAATGTTTTTTTCACGTTGGATCTATATTTATTATACATTCATTATTACCTATTCAAAAAACCAAGCTGTAACTTTTTTTTTTTAATTATAATAGCATACCGGATCGTCTTTTAAGAATTGTTGATAACACTTGACAATATCAAATTGTTCAACATCATTAATCCTAACTAAGTTAATAAATTAATTAGAATCGTCATTATTTCATTAAAGTGAAGTGAGGTATTTACTGAATTCATTCTATTCAAATGATGAGAATTACCTTCTGACATTTTTAATTGAATAAAGATTTAGAAAAATGAATAATTGTTGTACAAAAATGATATCAGATATAAATTTATAAGTATTGATCTAAAATATTTCAAAAAAAAAAAAAAAAATGAATTCGAAAGAAGAAATTAAAGAAAGCAAAACAATTACACAATTTGATATTACAAAGTTTTTGGATGCCCTAGATTTTGCAGCAAAAAAGCATGCCTTTCAGCGACGCAAAGATATTGAAAGGACGCGTAAGTCATTTTCCCTTTCCCCTTTTTCGCTATAAATTTCTTGTATTTTTGTTAATGCATTAAGATTTATATATATATATATATATATTCAGCGTACATAAATCACCCAATTGGCGTTGCCAAGATTCTAACAGATGCATGTATATTTGATTTAGCTACAATTCAAGCCGCAATTTTGGTAAACCATTTTATAATAATTAATTACTTCAAGTCATATTATATTTTATCTTTATTTAATTTATGACATTTTGATTATGAAGCATGATACAGTTGAAGATACCGACACAACTTTTGAAGAAGTAAGATCTTAATATATCTCTATTATCACTTATTGTTTTTATAAGAACTTGAATTTTAATTTCTTTTATTAAAGATAGAAGAAAGATTTGGAAAAGAAGTTAAAGATATCGTAGAAGAAGTTACGGATGATAAAGAATTACCAACTTTGGAGAGAAAAAGATTACAAATAGTTACTACTCCACATAAATCAAATAAGGAAAGTAAAATTTTAATAAAAATGGAATAATTATGGAATTTTAATATTTTTTTTTTTTTTTTTTAATACCTATTTTTAGGCCAAAGTAGTTAAACTTGCAGATAAATTATATAATCTTAGAGACATACAACGTTCAATACCAGTGGATTGGACGGAAGAACGTGCTCAAGGCAAATAGATTTCCGGTTTTATTAATAAATATGTTAATAAAATCTATTCTTAAACGTGTTAATAAAATGTTCTAATTAAAATATGTTATATAATGCATATCAATAATTAATATTATATTCAAATAGAATATTTTCAATGGGCTAAAAAAGTAACGGATGGTAAAGTTTTTGATGTTCACATACAATTTATTGAATTTATCAAGAAAAAAAAATAGAAAATTAAAAAATTAAAATGGGGGTTTTTTTTTTTTAAAAAAAAATTTAGGAGCCAAGGGAATCAATCAGAAATTAGAAGATCAATTAGAAGAAATATATCAAAACGGCACATTTGAATTTAAAGGTGTAACTTATAAATGTCATCCACATAATTAAGATTAACTGTAAAGTTATCAAGAAGTTGAAAGTTGAATGACTTCCATAATTATTCTTTATTTTGAAAATTTTTTTTATAGATGTAATTTTACAATTCCATAAAGAATATTATAAACTTTATATTTTTAGAAATTCGAAGTTTTCTTTTTCATCTACCTTTGATAAGATGTGCGCGAAAAACCGTTCGCCAAGAATTTTAGGCTTTAAAAGAATTTGCTTGTTTAAACAACAAAAATTTTTGTCACTTAAACCTATACCAATAAAGCTTGATTTGAAGTTGTCATGAGTTTTAGGTGTTTAGTGAAATCGTGAAAATCGAATCCAAAATTGAACTTACTATTTAAAAAAATGTTTAAATATAGACCCTTTGTTTCTAATAATAAAAAATGTTGTCATCCAATTGTCATCCATTAGAGCAAGGATCTTCTAAAAACTGATTATCATGATTGGTGCATGTGCTCATATATATATATATATATATATATATATATATATATATATAAGTATATATATCCACGAAAAAAAGTTTCAATTCCACGATTGGTCTTATCTAATAAATTATTGTAGTGACATCACTATTTAATCTATCAATAACGGAACCTTCTTAATGCAATTAATTACAATTAAATTGATTTTTTTTAAAAATTTGGTTAACAAAAAGTTTTAGTCCCAATTCTTTTATTATATTATATATATATATATTAAAATTTAATAGAAACATTAGAGATATATTCTTAGATAGTGCGACTGAAAACTATTCCCAAACTACTATTCAAAAGTTATTCAACACCCAACAATGTCAAACATGTACACAACTCAGGATGTAGGGTATTCGAGATATATGACAAATTCAAGAAGAAGTTCTGGGGGAAATTCTATTCTTGGGCCTAGGTCTAATACTCAACGTCCACAAACATTAAAGAAATCACGCCCACGTAGAACATCTTTGCAGGACGATCAAATATCTCAAGAAATGCGTCCTGTTTTATACCTTTTCGATGTATATTCACGAAAGATCTATATTGAAGGTTATTTATGTAGGAAAGTTATTTCTCCTTCACAAAACCAACAAGATTGGTTGGAATATTATGTAGAACTATGTGGTCCTACGTTAAGTTTATGGAAAGTATTAAGTTTAGATTCTGAATTACCAGAAGTTTCTCAGACTCCTATTATCATAAATATATTTAATTATGCTACAGAAATTTGTTCTCCGATATCTGATGGTACATCACAACGGATCAATGTATTTCTTGTGAATGCTGGTCAAGGTGATAATTTTTATCTTCAAACTCCAAATGAACGTGCTCTTAATTTATGGGTTAGTGCTATTAGATTATCATGTTATGAAGGTTCAAGATTACAAGAAGTATACACTGCAACCCTCTTTAAACGTCCAGAATTAAAAGATTATATCGCTGGAACAGTTTTAATAAAAGGAAAATTAGAAGGTTATCTTCAAGTACAATTTAATTATTCTGACGAACCAAAAAAATATTGGGTTGTGGTTTCTGATCATCGTGCTGAAGATAAAAAAAAGAAATCCGATTTGGCTTATACTAGAGGACAAGCTTTATTTTATGAAACTAAAAAATCTAAAAAACCTTTCATGACTTTAGCTAATGTTCTTCAAACTTATGCGATATATCCTGATAATCCTACTTTAATAGAAAAAACTAATCAAATTAGAGTTGAAGGAAATCTTTATCCTACAAAAAGTACTGATAATAAATTTGGAGACTTTGTTATTTTAACAACTGAATCAATTAATCAATTATCAAAATGGGTGATTGGTTTTTTTGATAGTTTTAAATTATATGGTAGACCGAAAGAATTATTATATGATTTCAAGAATCCTATTTCCCCATTTTTTGCTGTACCAACCGAAAGAAATAATATGAAATTATTCTTAGATCTTATTGAAGTTGAACATGTTGAAATGCGTGAAACTTTAGCTGATGTTAAAGCCACCTTTTCTGACATATTACGACAATCATATCAACTTCAACAACAACAACAACAACAACAACAATCCTTTAATATGCCGAGAAAAGGGAGTATTCAAAATGATAATTTATCTGATAATGTTATTCGTCAAAGACCAATATCTGGTGAATCTACTTCTTCTTCTTCGCATAGTTCAAGTCCTTCAACTCTCAAATCAATAAATTCAACGACTAGATCTAATTTTAACCCTAATGTGGCACAAGGATCTCAAAAAGCATCATCATTTATAAAGGATGCATTAATAGATCGTAAATCACAATATGGTCAAATAAAAAGAAATATTAAACAAATTGCAAGCAGTGATGACGATTCAGAGAATTCAATAGAAAATTATGAAAATGAATCAGATGAACCTTTTGACAATCCAGCGGTTAAAAGGAATACACAAAAGAATACGAAAATAATTATTGGAAAAGAAAATAAATCAACTATTGGATCTAAAAAAATTATAGAATCACCTGTATTTGGTGAAAGTGACCTAATGTCTGAGATTTTAACTGCGGTTTCAGAACGAACAGGAGAACAAGAAGATGAGACACAAAATAAATTTAAAAGAGTCGTAACCTTTAAAAATCAACCTGAAAAATCAAAACTTCCGGATAAAAAAACAAAACCGGTTCCTCTTCTTTCGGAAAGTGAAGATAGTGAAGAATCATCAAAAAGTGACGAAGGAAGTAGTAACAAAGTATCAAACAAAAATAATGTTAAAATTATAACAAAACCGGGTAAAGGAAATATAAAAAATATCCCGACTAAGCTCATGGCATCAGATAGCAGTAGTGATGATGATGGTGATGATGATTATGAAAAAAATCAACCAAAAAGATCAATTGTATCTGTACCTAACCCAAATCGCCCCCCACAAGCTGCATATAGCCGCCAAGTAAGTATAGTCGAAGAGGTAACTAACCCAAATCGCCCCTCACAGGCTTCATATAGCCGCCAAATAAACATAGTTGAAGAGGTAACTCGTGGAAGGTCAAAAGGAAAAAAACCAATTAGGCAGGAACAAAGTGAGAGTGAACCCGATGAGATTTTAAACAAAGATGATGATGAAACAGAATCAGCAGAATCAGCAGATTCAGATGATGATAATAAAGATATCGTTAAGGAAACGCCGAACAATTCTATAAATTCTTTAAAAAAGACAGATTTATTAGATAAATCAAAAACGGATTTGAATCAAGACTTTAATTCTTTAACTCTTAATTTACCTGAGAAATCAGATGATAAGATAGAATCAACATCATCTGAAGAAACAGAAACTTCAGAAAAAGAAGTTGCAAATAAGACGCGTAAAGTATTCAAACCTACCATTCGAAAAGAATCAAAAGCACGACAAGAATCAACTTCATCTGAAGATGAAACTACAGAATCCTCGGAAGATGACATGATAAATAAGGAACGCAAAGTATTCAAGCCGACTAAACAGAAAGATAAGCGAAAAAAAGCGTCACTTAATAAGTCAAGCGAAAGTAGTGGTAGCGATGATGATAATTCAAATTCTGAAGATTCTGAAGAAGAACCACTTGCTGTGTATGTAGATGACGCAGGGTACAACTCAAATTATGGAAGATCCAATTTCAACACTCGTCCACGATCAGTATCACCTAATTATATTCCGGGTCAACGATGGGCACCGCCTCCAGGTTCCGGAGGTTATTACGCTGATAATATGGGTTATCCGATGGACTATCGAAGAAGTTTTGTTCACCGGAATGATTATGATGATGATCGTGCTAGTATTGCAAGTTTTGGAAATCGTTCTAGGTCAGCTATGGGTCATGTACCAATGCCTCCACATCAACGTCATCTCAGTGGAGGACAAATGGATTATATGCGTGATTCTTTCTATTCAGATGATGGATATTATGATGATCGAGGAAATCCATTCGTTGTTCCCAATCATATACGTCCAAATAGTTTATTGGATACCTTACCACAATCTCAACCTTCCGCTCGTGAACAAGAATTGTTAGCTCGTGAAAGAGGGGAACCACTAATAAATATACCAGAAAGACAAAAGGATCCACAAACTGGATTGGTAGGAGCCATTACTGCAAGAGAACATCAAAGAAAAGCTCGGGGACCAGGTTTAGCTGCTAGACAAGCAGAATTTGAACGTGAAAGAGCATTCGAGAGAGAACGAGAACGTAGATTGATGGAACAAAGACAGCAAGTGATGATGGCTGAAAGGGAAAGGGAAAGGGAATACATGTATCGACAGTCTTATGTTGCACCTCCAGGTGGACCAAACAGGTACTATAATAATCAGCAATACTTGGATCCATATGCTGGTCATAATAATCAGCAATATTTGGATCCATACGCTGGTCATAATAATCAGCAACATTTGGATCCATACGCTGGTCAAAGGAGATCATATTATGATTATGGACATGATGATTATGAAGAGGATGATGTTCCTTTAGCTGTTGGTTCTTCTATGCCTCCTACTCAACCTAGATCATCACGTGTTCCAAAAGGAAGACGTACCAGTAGAGAAACTGAATATAACTAAAAAAAAATACATATATAGATTAGTGCGTCACTTTTATCAACTCATATAACAAAAAAAAAGTACTTTGTAGATTTTTATTGAATTGTACAAAAAGAATATATTTATAGCTTATTTTAAATGACATTTTTGTCGATATTTTTATTTTATTTTTATTTTTAATTATTAAAAAAATTAAAAGCTCCTTGGTTTGGGCGGTGTTATTTATTTGAGGGTGTTTCGCTGATCGTTGTGATTAGTGTGGTGTGTTCGTATTTTATTAACCCGTAAGAAATCCGGTGACATTTGAGGACTAGGCTTGTCCGGAAGAGTTTTAGTGTTGTTTGTATCTGTCTTAGTCTATATGAATCATTTCCTTAATTCCTAAAAAGGAAGTTGCGATACATTTTATTTATATATTAAATCTAACTTTGTATTTGTAAGTCGATTGATCCGTTATGCATATATTTGAGTAAATCATGATGACACGAAATAAAATTTTTATTAAATGTTTGCATCCGAAATTATTTTTGAACTTACAGGAGACCTGGTATATTTGTTATAATACGCGTATTATGTAGTAGGGGAAATAGACATCATTTAAATCACGAACTTTAATATGATCACCTAGGGGTAAGAGGGAGATCGTGTCATGAATTTATGCAGATCCTCTATTTTCAATATGACTGGTAGATTACTGACAAATTTTTATAACATTTGGTACGTTTTTCATGTTCTCAGACGAATTTTTATTGTTTAAATAATATTACATATTCATACTTTTTACACGTTATATTATATCATTTGCACATTTTAAGCATAATAAATATGAAAAAAAGGGAATTTATTTACTATTCTCTGTTGTATTCTATTTTCTATAGTGTAAAAGTATCCTTACTTGAATTAAAACTTGAATTTTCTACTGTACAATATTTTATTTTTTCATAATTATAATTTAAATAAAAAAAAAATGGATTCTTAATATAAGTTCACCTTTACTTAATAATGCAAGTCTATTATACTATTGTGTTGTCCTAGTTGTCACAATACTATTTTAAATTTATATTACGTTGTCCCCCGTTAAAATTATCTAACACGAAGTTTTTCTATAAAAAAAAAACCAGATTTCTATTGATCTAAGATCAATTCTGTACGAAAAAACATAATCAATTTTAGTGATACAGTGGACCCCTCAAAAGTCATCTCCTGTATAAGCACTCCCTTCTTTAAATCTACTTTAACTTGGGCCAATTTTTTTTATAAATAAAATCCCTTTATACAATCACAATATTATTTATAAGCATAGTCTTCAGTCCCAACGGTATATGAATATAGTAATTTCCCCATATAATCACATGAATTCTTATGAATACGCGCAGTCGCGCAGTAAATTCAAAGTTACGAATGATTTTAGCCGAATATAATTATGATGATATTTATAATGCTGATGAAAACAGGACTTTTTTTCGAATGGAATCTAACCAGACACTCAATACAGAAGCAATTATAGATCGAAAAAAAAAGTAAAAATATTAAAATTATTTTTTTTAAAATTCGTTTTATTAATAATTTTGCTGCCCACCCGATCTGATATTATTTGCACATCATATAACTAATTTAAAAATTTATTTTATTATAATTTAATTTTATAGGATAAAAGCAGAGAATCTATTCTTTTTTGTAGAATTTGTAGAATGCTATCTAATATGTAAAATAATAATTTCATCACTTATTAGTTTATTCTAAGTAATAATATAATCTTTTTTCATTACATTTTAACAAATAATTGAAATATTTTTTTTATCTACATATGTGACTATTTAAATAAAACCTCAACATAAGGACACCTCGATATAATCACACCCTTAGATGGAACCGAAGGGTGTGATTATAGAGGGGGTACACTGTATAATGTATAATGAAAATGGATTCATTACATTTAATTCCTCGTGATTTGAAGCCTACCAATATCTTTATTTCATTTTTATTCATGATATTTTTTGTATATCTTTTATTCGCGTCAATGTCCATTACCAATTCCATCATAGGAAGTTTTTATATTTTTAAAGGATACTTGGCTTTATAGATTAAATAAAGAATATGGTCGTGATGGTGTATATGAACTAACTATTGCTGGCAAAGACAAATTGTAATTACATATCGAAAGCATTTTAAGACATGTAACGAGAACTGCTAATGATCTTTTAGATTTATTTGATCTTGATAAAAAAAGGTTTACAGTCGTTGGAAATTTAATCGTCGCATTTTTTGCAGGCTATAGTATCTTTAACTTCTTCAACTTATTCTCCCAAGCTTGGTAAAATTGTAAATGTTTTATTTGACGAAATGTCAAATTTTCAAATCGATTTGAAACAAAAAGATGAAGGTATAATAATTATTGATATGGCTGTTTGGACACGTCGATTTATATGTGATTTTACATCCTATTTGACAACTGAGAAACGATCTAATACAATCCATTATTATTATTATAAATTAAAGAATGAAGTAGTTACAAACGAGATGAAAATTTTATTGAAAATATAAAAGTTTATTAAAAATCGAGTGAAGAGATTGTTGGATAATAATCATTTCTTTTATGTAAGATTGGAAGAAATTGTTAGAAGAAAAAGAAAAGAAATCGAAAAAAAAAAAATAATAATAATTATTATGATTTTAAATCAAAACAAATTAACTTCTTTAATTATATTTAATACTCTATACGATCCTTCATTATCAAGAGCTTTTGTAATTGGTGCAGATACGGTACGTATTACGTAATATATATACACTATATATAAAATTTAAAATTTTAATAATCTTTTATTTTGTATTATATTACGTTTCACATAATCCAAATGTTAAAAAGAAAGTTTTCAGACGTAACGATTAATGATCTTGAAAAATCAAAAAACTACAGAGCAATAATTAAAGAAGCAGTGAGAATAAGACCTAAGGTCAGTCTGAATAAAAGATATTGTAATCAACTTGAGGAAATAACAGGATACGAATGGCAAAAGACAAGATATTTATAATGCATTTATTTTCGTAGAATCAACACTAACTCACTTTATTGGAAAGATCCTGAAAAATTCATTCCAGAAAGATATTATGAATTGAAAAACAGCAACATAAAAATTCATTTTTAATGTTACGAAAAGATCCAAAAATATGTCCGGGTAGAAAACTTGCAATGTTGAATTGAAAACATTGATAACTTTAGTTTATAGAAAGTTTGATGTTGAATTAGTAGATACGCAAGCTCCCCTTAATGTTGAAACATCAACATTCACCTTCATTAAAGAATTAATCATTAAACTTATTCCTAGAGAATTAAAAAATTCATTCATAAACATGATAGAATAATAATTATACTATAACAATAATAAATTTTTATTGTATTTATTAAAGGAGTTTCACAAGATTTTTTTTTTGTTTTCTATTGTAATAATAGGCTTTTATTCGTTTGAGGCAAAATTGTATTAAGTTCTATTAATATATGATTAATTTTATCATCTATAGGCGCGAAATCACTTTTACAAATATATTTTTACATTTTTTTTTTTTTGCTAGTTAAACTTGTAAAATCATTACAATTAGCAAATATATAGATTATATTTCGTACCCTTCATCACCGCATGACAAGAATTTTGCATAAAATCTCGTGACTTTCCAAGTTAAACAATTACAATAATCCGTTTTTTTAAAAGAATTTTGTTGGCTTGTCATAAGAGTAATGATCTTTTTTAAAAGTCTTGGTGCAATTACATATGGAGAAATCTTTCTTTTTTCATTGTTCTTTTTTCGAATAGAACAATAATTTATTTTTTTCTATGGGAAGCTTGTTGATGTCATAAAATGATCAATGCTTTTGTTGTTTGTGGAATTTATTTGAACTACTATAATTGACTCTTAAACAATACTTAAAATGCAAGGTTTTTTAGGGGGCCCTTAAAATTACCAAAAAAAGATGCAGTAAAATTGTTTATGGGTACAAAATATACCTTTCATGAGACATAAGAAAGATGTGGTGACACATTAGAGACAAACTGGCAATATTGCAATTGTCTTCCTACTTCCGAAAATGGAAAAAAACTGTATAAAACGTGCCCGGCACGTTAGGTACCATTGTTAAACAATCACATGATTACGACCATTAATAAGGGGATTTTTTAGGAATTGATGAAAGCTATTTCGGTTATATTTTTAGAATTTTTTACTTCCACTTTCGTTACTTAAAGTCTTAGAGTTTCGCTAGACAGCTTTATAGCAATGTCAAGACTTCCTAAACATTCTCAAGTATCTACTTCGGGTCTTCCTGCTCCACAGAGCAAAAGACGTACTTCCAGTGCCGCCCAAAAAGTTATTTTAACACCTGAACAAGAGGCTTTATTACAAGAGGCATTAGTAAAATATCATCCAGATATGGCTACCCCGGCTACTTCTAATACGCAAACGAATATAAGTCCACCCAGAAAGTCCGGAATGACCTTCTCCAGGATGGTTAAGCCGTCTCTTAAGTCCACGATGGAATCACCTACTACTAATACATCCGATGGTCGAATTACCTCACCAAACTCTAATCCCTCCTCTCCTCCTTCCCACATCTCAAATTCTTCACCTAAACTCCAGCGACTATCACAAATAATTTCTCCCCCCTTACGTGCCGCTTCACCCTCCCTTTCTCGATTTTCCGTAGGTGAACGTGTATCTGTGGACTCAATTAATATCACAGGGACTCTCAAATTTATGGGTCTTATTGATATTAAACCGGGAATCTGGGCAGGTGTTGAAGTAGACATTCCTGGTACAGGAAAAAATAACGGAGACATCAATGGGTAAATTACAAATTTTTATTTAATTTTTTGACATCTTAACTCGAAGAAAATTTAGAAAATTTAATATTTAATCAATTTATCCTTATTTATTTTATCAGTGTTTCATATTTCACATGCGCTCCCAAGTCTGGTATTTTCATTCTGGCATCTAAACTTTCAAAGCCAATAGCCACGGAATCGAGCCAAAGTAAGGCTGCGCCTCCCGTCTCAGCCCCATCAACTAATGCGCTTAATGCCGCGGCGGCCGCGTCCCGAATCACAGAGGGTTCGTTAGCATCAAAGTATGTTGGTGTCACGGCTTCGCAGCTTAAGCAAAGAACGTTGGTAAAACCTGCCAAAATAATCACCTCCCCAACGATTCTAAATCCTAATAAACAGAATCGTAGATTGGCTCGCCCCGATTCAAATATCAATCCTCCACAACGTCAATTAAGAAGTGATTCATTATCTTCAAATGGATCCTCCGCTTCGAATCCTTCGACATTTTATAATAGAACGGGTATACACCGTTCCCGATCATCAACGCCAAATCTACCACCAAGGTCACTGACGCCTTCCGACAATGAAACTTCAAACTCATCAATTTATAGAAAAACTGGTGTACCACGTTCTAGATCACCAACACCCAATCCACAACCTAGATCATTAACACCTTCTGATACTGAAACTTCAGTATCTACTCCAACAGCTCATGGGGAAATGGTAAATAGTTCACTACAAACGAAAATCCAAAATATACTAAACAATTCCGGATCTACTGAAGGAATTCCGCCAAATCTTATAGAAATGCAAGCCCTTCGTATTCAGGAATTACAAAAAAAGATTGAAGTTTTGGAAGCTGAAAATAAACTTAATAACCAAAAAGCTATCGGTCTTTCCGAAGCTACCGAGAAATGGGAAGCAGAAAAAGAATCAATAGAGAAATCTTCTAATGAAAAGATAGCTCTGTTGAATAAACAAATAGAACAATTGACTTCTCAGGTGGAAGACTCGAAGGTAACCATTGAGCAATCACAAAAAACCATTGAGGATAAGTTGGCTGAAATAAGTGAATTAAATGAAAAGTTGAAAGAAACTCAAAAGAATTTTGATCAAATAAAGAAAGAGTTGGATGAAACTAATGAGAGTGTTTCCGAACTCAGGAATGCGGGTAAAGAGGCAATCCAAATTTATGAAACGAAAGTGTCAACTCTTGAAAAGCAAAATGAAAGTTTAAAAAAGGCTGGAAGGTCTTCACTTTCCTTAGTAGAAGAATCAAATTCTAAACTTCGACAACGAGATTCAATAATTAAGATGTTGCGAAAAGACAAAGATGAATTAATTGCAGCTGGATCTGAAGCTATTGTTGTATATGAGAAAATGCTTGAAAAACAAGAATCCGAAGCAAAAGCTACATTACATAAACAAGAAGAAATTTATGAGAATCTATCGAAAGAAAAAACAAGTACTCAACAATTGTATGAAGAAGCTGAAAAGAAACTTAAAGTTGTCGATGAACAGTTAAAAGCCAAAGATAGAGCAATAAAAGGTCTCGGCGAAGAGTTAGCAGGTATGCAATTCGGAGTGGAGGAGTTAATGCGAAATGATGCACATTCGCGTGAACGTATTAGTCAATTAGAAGAGGAAATTCGAGAATCGAATGTCTTTATTTCTAGACAGAAAGAAGAAATCAGTGCACTTAAAACAAATTTAAGTAATCTTATGTCTAACACGGATGAAACCGAATTTGAAAAGGTCAAAAATGTTTATGAAAGTGATATTAACCGATTGGAAAGTGAGAAAGAAGCATTACAAAAATCATTGTCTGATGCACAGGCAGAAAAACGGTCTGCTGCCAGTGAATTAGATGATATGATTACAAAGAACAAGAATTTAGAAAAGAGTATCCAAGATCTCAAAGATGAGAAAGTGAAAACTAATTCTGAATTTGAAGAAACAAATAAAAAGATTGAAGAATTAAAATTAAGTATTGACAAGAAGAGTCAAATTGTTAACGATGCAGAAATGGAGAAAATGGCATTGCTGTCATCTCGTGACAATATTAAAAAAGAATTAAGTCAAGTTCAAGATCAAGCAAAACAAGACGTGGACAAATTGAAATCACAAATTGAAGTTTTACAATCACAAATTGAAACTTTACAATCACAAGCAGCTTCAACCGATGACATTGGAATTCAACTTGAGACTAAAGTTTTGGAATATGAACGTTTGAATTTGGAATTTGTAGAATTTAAGGAGGAAGTCACTAAAATCCGGTCAGAAAATGAAGAATTAAAGAATAAAGTTAAAGAATTCTTTAATATCCAATCAGAAAATGAAGAATTAAAGAATAAAATTAAGGAAATCGCCAATATCCAGTCAGAAAATGAAGAATTGAAGAATAAAGTTAAGGATGCAGATCAAGAATACGAGAAAAAGATAGCAGTATATGAGCAACAAATTAATGAACTTCGAGCTAACGTAAATGAAGTTGATAACAAAGAATATGAGAAAAAAATAGAAGCATTCAAACAACAGATTACTGAACTTCAAACGAATGTAAATGAAGTTACGAATGAAAATTTAAAACTTACTGACGAAAATAAAAAGACGATTGTCGATTACGAGAAATTAATAGAAGCACATAAACAAGTTGAGAATGAATGCATGAAATTAATGGAAGAACTGGAGATTTTGCATAGCGAACAATTGGGAAGAAACGACTTTGCACCTTTGTCACCTCCAGCCGAAGCTAATGACAAAGTTAATGTAATAATTTCAGATGACGCAACAACAACTAATGCTGATGGACCAGAAATATCACGCCTACAAACACTTTTATCAGATAAACAGAAACAAATTGATCGATTGACGTCGACTCATAAATCGGAAACCAAAGAATTACGTCTTAAACTCCATGAATTGGAGAAAGAAAAACAAAAAGAAATTAAAACTTTACACAGAGAAGTTTCCGAATTAGAATCATTAATAGAAAGTAAAATATTCCGAGAGGCAGATTTAGAGGAACAAGTAGAAATGAAACGAATCTCTATTGAAAAATTAACAGCCGAATTGGAATATGCTCAAGAACAATTGAATGAAATGAAAAAGTTTGATAAAGATCTTGGATTTGATTTAAGTTATGAAAGTTCCAAGAAAGAAACGTCACCTTCATCAAAAATATATTGTGAACTTTGTGATGAAGAAGGTCATGATTTAATGAGTTGCAAATCAGTTTTTGATCAAGGTTCAAATAAAAATAATGTAAATAAAGATCAAACTAATGAAATTAATGGTGTTAAACTGGTAAGTTACAAAAATAATCGTTAATTTATTTAAATTTATTCATAAATCATGAATATTATTTATTAAATCATAAATATTTTATTTTTATTTTTTAGTACTGCGATAATTGTGAAGTAAGCGATTCTCATTGTACAAAAGATTGTCCTAATCAAGATGAAACTTTTTAAAATATTTAGATAATGTATTTTTATTATTTCTTTATTTATCAATTAATTATCATTTCTATTATATTATTTATTATTTATTTTAATTATATTTATTATTATTTATCAATTTATTATATTATATTATATTATATTATATATTATTATAACATTTGTATATTTAAATGCAGTTCAAAAATTTTAAAATTTGTAATACTAAAAGCATTATTGCATTATAAAAATAAATAATTGGCATTCCACTTGGTATTCCACAAATAATAATTTCATGTTATTAAATTTGTATGAAATTTTATATTATATTATTTATTTATTTATTGATTTTCAGATCGTTTGCAAACTTATTTTTAAGTTTAATAAGTTTGCATAATTAAATATCTTATTTAAAGTTTACAAATTTAAGTATGCAGCATTTATGCAAATTTATGCACATCAAGGATCAATTAAAATTGTTTAAAAAATATTTTAAGCAATAATTTTTATTTTAATTATTATTCTTATCAACTGTTGCTGCTGCTGGAACCGGTCTATCTAATTGTTCCAACTTATTTAATATATCTTGTTTATTTTCTTCTACAACTTTGCTGCAACGTTCAACTAAAAGCAACATAGTTTTAATATATTCAACTAAAAGTGCCATATTCGGTTCTTCTCCGAGAATATCTTCAACTGTCCATTCAGCCAACTGTCCCGCACCAAGTGTTTCATTCTTTTTAAAACATTCGTCACTTTGATAATTAACAACCTTTAAATAAATAAATAAATAAATAAAAATATTTAATATATTTTTTTATCAATCGTTATCATATGACATAAAGAAGATTTTCTAACCTCAATAGTCCATTTAACTATTCCTTTTCCAGTTCTGCCCATAATTTTATTAGAGTTATTTTGTTCGGAAAGAGGAAGTTGTTCAATTCGAGTAAGTTCGGCAATATATGGATAATGTAACTTGTACCTTGAAGTTACTTTATAATTTATAGATTTTACATGAAGGAAATCAGGAATATGTTCAAATGTTATAACACTAGTTGGACTAACTGCCGTCTTTTTAATAAAAGTACTAAACGGTTTAATGTCAGGACGAAGAAGTCGCCTTGCTGCCAAACTCATTCCAAAGTCGAAATTTCTATAAAAGTAATCATTTTAATCATTTTGCACAATTAAATTAAAATTAAATCAATCAAATTAGTTAAATTAATTACAATTATTCTTACCGATCCAAAACCGTCAAGTCAATGTCTACTAAACGATTCCAAGGTAGTGCGACTTTATCTAAAGTAACAAGATTACTGTTTATATACATATATACTGGAATGTGTTCGCTATGTGGTGAATTTCTAGCGTTAGCACAAATTTCAAAATATGCATTCTTTTGAGACGGTTTTTTCCCAAGAATTTCTACTAATTTTTCACTAAGTTCTGGTATATTGGTTGCGCTGTTGAAAACCAAATCCAACATTAATGAAAAAATCATTAATATTATTTATATTTTTAAGTCGATAATTAAAAAAAAAAAAAAAAAAAAAAAAAAAAAAATATAAAAGATCATACAAATTCTTAAAAGTAGGGGATGCTCCATATTGCCCAACGATTACATCCTTTAAATCCGTATATTCCCAAAGCTTTTTTGGAATTACATTTGGATCTATTTTTGTAAGTGTAACTTTTCCTAGACTATACATTGATAGAAATGCAATAATTTATATTTGAATATTCGAATATTAATTTATTAGTAATAAATTTATTGGATAATATATGTATGTTGACTTATATTTAATTTACCTTGCAAACAATCGAATTTCACCTTTAAGTGTACGAACGTAATCAATCCTAAATTTAATATTAATTTAAAAATAAATAAGTAAATGAATATTCAAATTTAAACTTTTTTTTTTCTTAAAACAATACTTCACCCTGGTTTCAATGCATTTAGTATTTTCATAAAATTATAGTCTCTGAGCCTAATTTAATTATTTGTGAAGGAGGGAAGAAAGGAAAATGATTAGAGAATTCTCAATATAATTTTACTAAATAAGTTATGTCTAAAAAAAAGATTACATCTTTCCAGGGGTTCTAGCGTTATTAGCGTTATTATCAGCATTATTAGGTCCTTTTTCCAAAACCATATTATGGACCGAAGGATTCATCATAGGTCTATCGTTAACACTTTCTTCTTCAAAAGGTTCCGCAAATTTCACTTTTTCTGTATACTCATTTCCGAACAAACCTGAGTAAGATTTTCTATCTGAAGTACTAGTACTTTGAGAAGTTTGAGAAGTTTGTCCATATTGTGCACGCATTTTCCTTTGTGCTGCGAGATTGATTCGCATCTTATTTTGGTCATCTGACAGAGGAGAACGTGATGAGTTTTGTTCTTCAGAAGGTTCTGATACAGAAGTTACTGGTACATTGGAACTCGATGAATAATTCTGTGAATTATTCCGAATAGGAGTTGTATTAGAACGCATCGGTGGGAATGAAGTACTATTTAATAAATCCGGAGGATCATCAGTTGACCATGGTATTCGAGTAGTAGGTTGCTCTACAGCTGGCCAGTTGTGAGGATTAAATTCATTCTGCTTTATCGAGGAAGATTCAGGCATTTGATTGACTTGCCTTTGACCCGGTAGGTCAGAATTATTAATTAATTTATTACTATCTAGTGTTATATTATTCGTGATATTTGGAGTCCTCCATTTCCTGCTAGCTGGATTCTGGGTAGCCGGAATGATTATATAATGATCTCGAAGATTCGGATCCTTAAATACTTTGCTGAAGTAAAAATGAGTTGATAATTTTACAAAACACAACTTGAAGGGGACACTTTGATATGGATAATGAACAAGGAGTAATTCGATTCGTCTAAAACGAGCTTTAAGCTATAATAATAATTTATAGTTATCAATAGTATAATAATTATAATATAAATGATAAAATAATAGAATACATACATGAATACGTTCCAAAGTCGCTAATCTTTTCTTTGCTTCTTCGATATCTCTTTTATTCCCCCCAATGATTATAATTGCCTATAAAAGGTATGCCAATCCAATCAATCCATTAAATATATCCAATTAAAATATATTCATTAAATATATATAAATAAATATGTGTATATATATGTGTGTGTGATCTGAATAATAATTGAGGAATTATAAATTTCATTTACTTTCTCCTTGGGAATTATGTCGCCGCTCACTTTACACTCAGCACAAATTTCTTTCCAAAAATCGCAATTTTGGTTAAACTCGCGCTGATCTGAACCTAATACTTCATTAACACTTTTAATATTTTTTGAAAAAAAGTATTTTTCTTCAAATTCATATTTATCATCGATCTCGTTAAAGATAGGAAGATCAGGTACTAATAGAGGTGGTGGAATTCCAACTACTGTGACAGCAGATTTCTCTACACTACGTTTCGCTTTACGTTTTGGAATAGTCAAAACGGTTTTTGCTTTACTTGACTATGTGGGAATAGATAGATAAATAAATATAATTCAATTCATTCGAAAATTTTTAAAATTTTGAATTTTGACAAAGATTTTTCTATCATACCATATTGTGTAAAATATTAGAAAATTCTTTGTGCCTATCTCATAATTAAAAAATTCAAAGGTTAAAATTAACGTAAATTAATGATTTTCAAATTTTTTGACTTACAATTCTTTCATGATTTCATCCGAACTAGTTTTAATTTCAAAGGCCTGTTGTATAAAAATATCTCAATAAAAATTCAAAATTCAAAAAAAAAAAAAAAAAAATTAAAAGTGAATTTTACTAGACCTGTTTTTCCGGAAGGAATGAAATTTCGACATTATGTTCACTATGTTTTTCTTCTATTTCACTATTTAAACCCATTAAGTGCAGTCCCTTTAGCGAAATTCATAACAGTTTTTATTTTTAGAATTTTATTTTTTCAAAAAAATATTTTATTACTCACTTCCACAAGTTTTGTAGTTCTATTATTTGATTTTCGTTCCATTCCCATATTGTATATACAACGTGAACGAACTCAGGAAATCCCGAATCATCGTCCATCACTATTAAATTTATTAAATTTGTGAATGTTTAACTAAATAAATAATTCTCGCTTTGATTTTTATTCCGGTTTTAATCACGAATACGAGTTTATTTGGTCAGATGTAATTTTGTCATAATATAAATAAATATATATACTAGTTTTTCCGTGTGTAATAGCGTCACTTCTTAATCGATTCTTGACTCCCAGCCAAAATTAGACAGTTTTAAAGGATCTGCAGCATCTATGATTAAGATGAAAGTTACAACACAAACGTATCATATATATGGAAACATAATAAATATATCAAATATCTATCTTAGCATTTAAAAATATTAAAAATATTATTTTTAAGGAATCAAATTCATAATTCTTGTAATCAAGTACAAATTGATTCTACATCATATTCTATTCATATAAAATTTAAATTATCGCATTTTTTTTTTTTTAATTTAAAAATTTAATTCTTTTTTAAAATAAATATCCCTTTACATCCTTGTAACTTGCCAAACGCGAATCTTATTGTCTACATGACGATTAAGAAGAAGAAAAAAAGAAATTAAATAAATAAATATAATTTTAAAATGTAATTAATAGAATTAATAGTGATTGATCAATTCTATTACCTGTATATCCTGCAAACAAGGTAGTACCATCTGGTGACCAAGCCAGAGAAATACATTCCGGATCTTTTGAAAACCTGCCTGTTTCTGTAAATTCAGGTTTAAGATCATCTACAACGGTCTTTGTTTCAAGATCCCAAATCTTAATAAAAGATGCGGTAGCAGCACACAACCAGTAACGATTAGGACTGAATACCAATGCATTAATAATATCTCCAGCCTCTAACGAATACAAATGTTTTCCTTCATTAAGATCCCACAACATTGTAATACCATCCTTTCCACCTGATGCACAAAGTGATCCATCAGGCGAAATAGTGACAGTGTTGATATATCCTTTGTGTCCAATATGATTTGTTCGAAGTTTGCATTTTGTAAGCTCCCATACCTAAACGTGACGTGAACGTAACGTGAAACGTAAAATAAATGTAAAAAAAATGTAAAAGAATTTAATAACCATTTCTAAATTTATGAAAATAAATTTTACAAATTTTAATAATGTGATTCAGATTTGGTTTATTTTTTTTTTATTTTCATCTTAGAGAATTCTCCGGAGTAGCAAATATCCATTACAAAATACATCACAATCATTCAATTCGTTCAATAAAAATTTTATAAAAGAAATATTTGAAATTACCTTAACAAGTTTATCCCAACCACATGAAACTATTACTGGATTAGAAGGATTAGGTGAAAATCTCACACAAGAAACCCATTCGGTGTGACCTTCATCTTGAATATTAAATTTACATTCACCAAGTGTATTCCATAATTTAATAGTTTTATCTCTTGAACCCGATACGATTTGACGGTTGTCAGGAGAAAAAGATACCGAAAGTACATCTTTTTCATGACCAACAAATCGACGAGTGGTGGTACCAGTATTTAAATCCCAAAGGCGAAGAGTTTTATCCCAAGAAGCGGATAAAGCAAATTGTCCATCGGAAGAAATGACCACATCTTGCACAAAGTGATTATGGCCAGTGAGTGCCTTACGGGGAACACCATAATTCGTTTCATCTCGAGTTAACGTCCAGACAATAATTGTTTTATCTATAACACAATAAATTTAATGATTAAAGATCATCCCTTAAATTTTTTTTTTTTTAATTTCATTTTTTTTGAAGGATTGATCGTATAATTATATAATTATACATTTCAAATAATCAATATCTGATTCATTCATTCATTCACTCATCCCAATATCTTCGTAATATTATTTATTATTCTTATTCTTTCTTTTGCGAAAAAATTTTACAGATTTAAAATTTGATAAGTCAAAGAATTACACGAGTCGGATTTTCTTTTGCTTACATGACTTTTAAGAATTTTTTTTTTAAAAAAAAAAATTATTCACGTACCACGAGACGCCGATAGAATCATATCGGGATTTTCTGAAGTGGTGGCTATTGTGCATATGCATTAAATGTTTTCGAAAAAAAAAAATTAAAATGAGAAATATAAAGATTCTAAACGTTTAAACTTGATAAATAACTTTACTTTCAATTCAACAAGTAAACTACAAATATTCTGTTTACTTACCAATAGCCGTCACCCAGTTTGAGTGACCTTATATTAAAAAGATAATATCGAATAAATTAATTTAAATATTTGAAAATTTGTTTAATTAGATTTATATCTAAAAAGAATATACCTTCGAGTGTTCCACGTAAAGAAAGCGTATCAGTCATTTCTTTTGACGGTTGGGTATTATTAAGATAAATTGGTTTTCTAAATTTTTTTTATCAGATCTGAAAATATAAAAGTCACGATTTTACCAGTTACACAAGAATTTCACATATATACATATATCAATAGAGACTCTTTAAATATCCAATTATATTGTAGGAAAAATTGAAAAAAATTATTTCAACCTGAAAATGAATCTATAACTATGAAGAAAGGGAAGAGAAAAACTCATAAAGAAGTGAAGTGTCTTAACTGCCCGTAAGTATAATATATTTTTAACACAATAAAAAACCGAGATATTTTAAGTACAGTGACTCGGATTTTTAAATTTTTTATTAAAGACTAAAAATATGATTTTTTTATTTATTTTAAATACTTTAGAAATAATACTTGGCTTCGTAAAAAAAGGAATTCAAATACATCAAAAAAAATGAACATAATACACTTAATAAATTTCACTGGTCGAATTAAGAAAAACAGGCAATATTTTTGGTACAAATAGGCAGGGAGATTTGTGGATGATATGCAAATAGGCCAAGCATAATAATTGTTTTTTTTTATTTATAGAATGTTTTAAGCAAAAATTTCTTTTTGCATTAGATTATTTTTCTTTGATCCAGTCAGGGTGACCGTTTTTAATTCTTGGGTCTGGTCAAGGTGGCCAATTTAATTCTTATAAATGAAAATATTTTTTTATAATATTTATTTTGATTTCAAAAAATGGTTATTTATTTCATTGGTTGAATAAAAAAAATAAGCAAAATTTTTGGTGTAAATAGGTAGAGATATGTAAATAGACAGGAAGATTTGTGAATAATATACAAATAGGTGTAAGAATTGAAGACCAAGTAGACTGGATTCTAATTCTGAAAGAATTTGAAATGCCAGTGAAAAAAAAGAAGGTGGTAACATGGGGAGAGAATGAAGTTAGAGAATTTAGAAAGTAAAAGGGAGAGGTGATAACTTGAGAAAAGAATGAAGTTAGAGAATTTAGAAAGTAGAAGGGAGAGGTAGTAACTTGGGAAGAGAATGAAGTTAGGAAATTTAGAAAGTAGAAGTGAGAGGTGGTAACTTGGGGAGAGAATGAAGTGAAAAAATGAAGTTAGAGAAAGTAGAAGGAAGAGGTGATAACTTAGGAAGAGAATGAAGTTAGAAAATTTAGAAAGTAGAAAAGAGAGTTGATAAAGAAAATTCAAAGAATATTGACATGATATATATAGATGATATGCAAATAGGCAGGAAAATTTGTGGATGATATGCAAATAGGTTAAACTATATATGTTCTCAAAATAAAATAGATATTTGACTTTTTGTGATTTTTGAGATATCCATTCTATATATAAATATAAAAAAAATATTCAATCTAATGTATTTTTAATTAAAGAATTATCTGAATGATCAAAAAATTTTGGATTTTAAATAAAATAATTTTGTTTTCTATAAAAAACATTTTGTTCCTGTTTTATTTCATCTTTCAAAATTATATGAAATTTAATTTTGGATACAAATTTAGGTTAAATTAATTTGTTCTAAAAATTTTACTAATTTTTAATTATTTGATATATGTTTTTAACAGTAACTTCATATTGAATTATCTTTAATTAAAAGTTGCAAAATATTTTATTGGATTTTGTAGATTTTTCTCGTTCACATTCTGGTACTAATATTTGTAATATATTTGTAAAAAGTTATTTAAATTTTGGAATTTTGAATAATGATAGTTAATTTTATTATATTTTTATTATATATCAACTTAGGTGATCTGATTTGAATAGATCAGATCTAGATCATAAGTTTTAATCTTGATTTTTTAAAAATTACTATTTTAATATTATTTATAGTATTAATAAAAGTTGTTCTTGTATCATTTTTACATATATTTTACTAATATTATAATGATGATTTTTGTATTAGTTTCCAAAATATTTAACAATAAAGATATTATATAAATGTTTTATTTTCTTGAAAATTGTTGTTTTAATATTATTTATTATATTGATAAAAATTATTCCTTTTATTATTTTACATATATTTTATTAATATTGTAATAATAATTTTTACATTAGTTTTCAAGATATTTAATAATAAAAATATTTATAAATTAATAACAATATTATAAGAAATTTAAAAAATTAAAAGAATTTAAATTTAATTTGAAAATTATTTTTAAATATTTTTTATAGAAGACAATTATTTTATTTAAAATCTGAAATTTTTTTAATTAAAAATATATTAGATTTCACATGTTATTCAAATTCAGAAAAAGAATAAAATTTTACTAATCCTATTGTTAGAATTTGGATAATATATAAATATTAAACTAGATACTTTTTATTTTCATATAAAACAAATATCTGAAAAATCTCAAAAAGTCAAAATATATATTTATTTTGGAAACATATATAATCTAAAATATTATGAAGTAATAATTAAACTAATATTAATTGAATAAAAAAAAACAGATAAAATTTTTGATACAAATAAATAGAGAAATATATAAATAAGTATAAAGATTTGTGAATAATACATAAGAAAATTTGAAATGAATAAAAGTAGAGAAATATATGATATACAAAATTTTGATCATTTGAAATGTGTAATCAAATATTTATACATTTTATATATTTTATTTATTATTAAAATTAAAATAAAAAATTAATTATAATAAATAATTAGTAATAGTGACAAAATCATATATATAATTTAGTTAAATTATAAAAAACTTAATTTGAGATAATTTGATTACTAATATTTATATAAGTATTAGTTGACATATCTATTATCTAATATTTATAAGTGATGAAATCATTGGGATTATAAACTTTGAACTTTTGATTGTCAAATCATTAAATGAAATTAGAAAAAGATATAGATATGCATAATTAATAATAGAGTTATTTAATATTACTATTTGTATTATAAACATAATACTAATCTTTGTATTTCTGTAAAATTTAATTGATATTTTTTTTCTGATCAAAGGCCAACCAAATTTACATAGGTCAAATACAAAAGAATTATTATACCAAAAAGAAATTTTGATTTTAGCTGATTTATAATATAGGATGTAATAGAATGGTTAATTTTTAGTGATTTTTAGCTAATTTATAATATAGGAATCACCATTCAGTTATACTTGCCATCCAAATGCCAAAATGCTCAAATTTCAAATTTCAAATTTTATTACTAATAAATTTTGCTGAAATCTCAAATTCCAAATTTCAAATACTATAAATATGAAATTTCAGTATTCCAAATCCCAAATTATTTGAGGTTTGAACAATGGTATACATCCAATATAGTGATTCTTTTGCATTTGACCTATTTTATAAAGAAATTTCAAAAATCAAAATAATTCAAAAACAAACAAATTTCTAGTATATATTCAGTTCATGTGCCAGTTGGAGCTTCAAATAGATTGACTCGTTAACTTATATATGATTTATATACTATTAGAAAAATGTAATGGATATTAAATTTTATTAAATTTCATATGAAATTCTGATTTGTTTTATTTGGGAATTGACTTATTAGAAACATTAGTGCCAGTAGTCAATTTGTATTTTTTTGTAAAGAATCCAAATCTTCTATGTAAATAACAAATTTTCAAAAAAAAAAGAATTAAATTTTTTTTTAAATTTCTATCAAAAATATACCAATATAAGATATGAAAAAGCTCATTGTAATTATTTTTTATTTCTTTTTCAAATTCTAATTATTTTTACAAGTTATCATTAAGAACAACCTACAAATTTTGAACATTTTAAATGATGATATTGATATTGAATCTAATAACTTATTAAATGAATAAACACCATCACCTGCATGAAATCAATTTTTTACTAATTGTAAAAAAACTTCTAAAAAAAAGGAATTCAAAGAAAAAAACAAAGTTGATATACTTATTGCTTCAGAATTTTTTTGTAAAAACCCAAACTTGATTGCATGATGAAAATTGTAATAAAATGCTTATAGGAATATCAAATTGATTTTTGTATGTTATCAAAAATAATGATAGTGGTAAAAAAATTACACTGTAATATTTGCCTTCAAGAATTTTTATTAAATCAAATGAATTTAATGAATTTGAATTTCTGACAAAAAAAAAACATTAACAAATAAAATATCCTAGAATAATTATAAAAATCATTCTACCAATCAATCTACTATTATATTCTAATGTAATATATATATATTTTTGATTATTTATTATATGTTATATATATTTATTAAATTATATAATCATATTTTTTCAAATAAATTTTTTTTTATTTTTATATTTTTATTGCATATCTAATAAATAATTTGATGCCTTTTGAAGATCATTATTATATTTCTCCAACGCATCAGTAGCTTGAGATTTGGTAAATCCCATATTTATAAATTGTTTAACTAATTCTAAACTTTCATCATTTTTATCATCACCATCATCATTTTCATCCTTATTAACCCCATTTTCCTCTCTTACCTCACCACTTACCTCATTTACCTCGCTTACCTCTCTTATATGAGGAGAAGGATTTGTAGTTGGAATAGTTGTGGATGATGAAATCACTTCCTTAGGAGGTTTAATAGGTAGTGGGGGAGAAGGGACAATATGTTGTTGTGATGATGATGATCTACGTTCATGAACATTATGTGGTAATGGTGGAGTAGAATATGTTCTAAGTTGTTGTTGCTGTTGTATATTCATTGAATTTAAAGCTGATACTATATTATAAGTATTCGGAGGTGAAATATGCATATTAACTAAATTTTGTGGAAGTGGTGGAACTAACGTAAATGGATTATTATTTTGTAATTGTTGATGCAAAGGTGATGATGATAATGTTGTTATTGCCGTTGGTGTCGTTGATGCTGTTGTTGTTGTATTCACAGGTTGTAATAAAGGTGATTGATGAAATGACTGAGTAATAGTTGGATTGGTTATTTCTGATCCCGTTCCAGGAATAGTAATAGGTGGCGTAGTAGAAATAGTAGTAGTAGTGGTAGTAATTCCATTAGAAATATAATTATTATTATTACCATTTAATGATTGTGTTGATCCAATTAATATTGAAATATCATCCTTGATTGAATTTGATGAATTCCAAGAATTACTTGATTCCTCAAATTCTAAATATACTAACGACTTTGATTTTAATTTATCCTAAAATTATTCAATTTTAATTTTAATTAATAATAATATTTTTTTATTCATCTAATAATAAATGATTTATTTTTTTTACCTCATTTCCATCTTCATCTTTTGTCAACTTCATTCTTTCTACAACGTGAGTAGGCATCTCATCTGATATGGAGCGTGTATGTATTTTATTTTCAACATCAGTCTTATTCCCTCCACTAGGGAATAATAATACATTATTAACATTCTCTAATTGTTGATTAGTTCGTCGAGATGAAGAATACATTAATGTAGGTGTTAAAATCCTTTGATCTGTATCCAGAAACCCTGGTGCTATTTTCCTTGCCTCCTCTTTTTGTTTACGAATTCTTTCCTCCCTAAGAGCCTGCAATTTTTGTGCTCGTATTTGTGCAATCCTATCATTTTCTTGTCGAAATCTTTCAGTTTCGGCAACAATGCGTCGTTCAAGATTAAAATCAATTTTTTTCTATAAATCAAAATGATCATGTTATATAAATATATGTTTAATCTCATTAAATTTTTCATCAGGATAAAAATGAATGAAAAAAAAAATTTTTTTCACTAAAAAATATCTAAAATGATATAATTACTACTACTATAGGTATTTCGATAGAAAAGTCAGTCGGTATAGTTATCTATAAAGAGAAGAAAAAAAAAAAAAGAAATATACATTAAAAATTCGAATGCACAAATATTACGAATAAATAATAGTAATAAATAAAACTTACTGGTTTTAATGTGGAAAATTGTGGTGCTAAAATGAGAGGGACGTCTTCCAAAGCAGAATAGATTGAAGATACGGAATTATGATGTTCCATTATTGAAGTAGTCAGTCTATTCCGAAAATTTAAAGTTTCAATAATTTTTAATAGTTTTAATAAGTTTTAAATATCACATCCAAGTATATTCATATTGCGGAGACTTTTTGTATTGCATATGCAAACATGTGACATACCAAAATAAAGTATAAATATGGTTAATGCATTGGTTTTTTCTTATTTTTTTTCTTTTCGAAAAATTAATAAAAAAATTTTGGATTATATCAAAATCGAATGAATGAATTTAGAATGTCTTCAATTATAGAATTTCCTAATATTTCTTATTTTTTCTGTTTAGGAATTATTATAATTCTCTATGCAAAACCGAACTTTTTCTATAGTTTTTTATTTTCAATAGTACATTTGATGTTTAAAATCTATCGAATGTATTTATATATCTATATCAATTTTCAAAGAAAACATCCAACATTAATAAATCCGTCCCAAATATTGGAAGATTTAAAAGGTTTGGATAAAATTCCAAAACACCTTGCCATAATGTTTTGGGGTGATATTAAAGAAAAAACGATGATCGAAGCAGCACAATTATGTTGTTGGACTTGGTGTTTTGGAATAAAAGTATTAAGCATATATGAGGCAGAAGGTGTGTTTAAATGACTTAAATTAACGTGATTTAATGATCGTGTATATATATATTTTTTATTTTTTATTTTATTTTTTTTTCATTATTAAATTCTATCAACCTCAAATGTTAGTCTTTATTGAAAATAATTTTATAAATATATATATAATATATAAATATATAAATTATATATGAAATTATATTATAATTTAATTATATGCTAATCTTTTAGATATAAATCTTAATCCAGGTAATCTGAAGCAGAATGCAAATTCATTGCAATCTCACATAAATAACATTTCACGACAATTTTTTATTCACGAAAAAATCGTACCAAAAATACGTGTCACGGCACTTGACACATCAATAAATTATGCGCATTTTGAGAACAAAGATTTAAATAAATCAGGTGTTATATTGAATTAAATATTCTAGTTGATCCATTATTATCAAAAGATTTTTGAATACTCTCGTAACTTTACCATTTTCTTGTCTTTTTTTCTTTTTTTCTTTTTTTTCTTTTTTTCTTTTTCATGATTATATTATTTTTTTTCTGAAATTAGAATTAGATTTAGATTTGCAAGTAAATTTAATTTCGCGTGAGGATGGCCGTATGCATATAATCAAGACGACGAAAAACTTGGCTAATGATGTGATACAAGGTAAATTTAAGAGTGATGATTTGGATATTGCTGAGTTAGATCGACGATTAAGTGGTATGTTTATTTATTTCTTTATTTTCTTCTTTTCTATAAGTAGTACCAAAATTCTTGATAACATATATAACATATAAAAATTAATGGTTCTTTTCGTTATTATTTATCAAAGTACCAAAATTTTCCGAACCTCAATTGATTATTTTCTTTTCACCGAATATTGATATTGATGGATTTCCACCTTGGCACATTCATCTTACTGAGCTATTGTATGTATTTTTTTTTTCTTTTTTAATTATCAAAATCATAAAAATTCTTAAAATTAATTATACTTATTATATTAAATATATTTAATTACATTTGAATTCATATAAATTAGTCATGTTCCAGAAAATTATAATTTTGATTATTCGATATTTTTACAAGGATTACGTAAATATTCAAAATGTGATCAGAGATTTGGACGATAAATAAATTATAGAAAAATAGATTATTAGGTAGTTATGTAAAAATAAATCATAAAATTCACAAAATATCTAAATTTAAATATTTGTTTATTAAAAATTAAAAAATTTCCAATTTTCATAAATACATTATTAATATTATTATGAATGACCTATTCTAATTTATAATAAATTTCATAAAAAAAAAAAAAAACTACATAAAAGAAAATTGATCCTGATTAACAAATTGTAAATGATTGTTGATTTGTTGATTGGTTTGCTGTTGTTGGGGATTGTTTTGTTGTTGTTGTATTTGATATGAATGATTAATCTGCTGTTGTGGAAGTTGTTGAAGAATTTGTTGTTGTTGATTTATTTGTTGCTGTTGTTGTTGTTGTTGATTTGCTAAACGACGCATATTATGCATATAATCTGAATAACTATAATTATTTAAATTATTCAAATTATTTAAATTTAAATTATTCAAATTATTTAAATTATTTAAATTATTTAAATCTATTCTTGGTCTGACATTATTCATGAGTATTTGATTGATTGGTATCGGAACATTATTTGCATTATTTGTTGGTGGTACTTGATTGGTTAATTGTACTGATATATTATTATTATTTAAATTATTATTTGCGCCATTGTATTGAACTTGGTTGACTATAGCATCGTTGTTTTGAACTTGATTTGATATCACACGAGAGTCAGCAATTACGGGGGAGTTTTGAATAACACTAGGATTTGAAACATTTGAAAGAACATTTGGAACATTTGGGGGAACATTTGGAACATTTGAGAGAACATTTGGAACATTTGAAACATTTGAAACTGGATTGTTAGGATTTCGAACCGGATTGGTGGGATTTTGAATCGGATTGGTCATTACATTAGAATTGTGGCCTAGATTGGCTAATTGTCTTTGAATATTTATTCGTCCATTTGATCTATTAACAATTTGAATCGGCATATTCATGTTATTATGATTACTTATTTGTCTTTGAAGATTTATATTATTGTTTGCGACTTGATTAGGAATTGGAATCGGAATATTCACATTATCACTTGGAATATAATTAGAAGCGGATTGTTGTATTCGTTGTTGCTGCTGTTGCTGCTGTACCTGTTGTTGCTGTTGCTGTTGCTGTTGCTTAAGTTGTTGTCGGTACTGCAAATGTGCAATTAAATGTTGTGAATATTGTTGCTGTTGCTGTCGCTCTGGAGTCGATCGATTATTAATTGATTGACTTTCGCGTGATACCTCAGTATGAGATAATGTCTGTTGAATATATCCTGGTACTTGAGTATGGGGCACTTGAGTGTGGGACACTTGAGTGAGGGGTACTTGAGTGAGGGGCACTTGAGTGAGGGGCACTTGAGTATGAAGCACTTGAGTATGAGATGCCTGAGTATGAGGTACTGGTACTTGAGCGTGAGGTATTGGTACTTGAGTATGTGGTACTTGAGTATGAGATGCTTGAGTTTGAGGTGCTTGAATTGAATAAGGATTTTGAGGATTTTGAGGATTTTGAGGATTTGGAGGATTTGGAGGATTTGAAGGAATTGGATATTGTGTCATAATTTGCTGACGTTGATGATGCTGAGATTGATCAGATTGTTGAGATTGAGGAATATGATGATGTATTTGATTTTGAGTTGGAACGGGTGGTAAGGAAGGTTGTTGTTGTTGTTGAACATCAGATTTTATGGGAATATGGGGATTATGTGTTAATGCGGTCAATGCAGAAGATAAAGTCACTTGTGATATTTGCCGATTATTTTGCGAGTTTCGTCTACGCGGAGGTGGTGGTGGAGGCATCGCGATTTGATCTTGATTAATTACCGGAGTTTCAGATTTCACAACATTATTAATTTGAGATTCCTTAATTGTAGCAGCCGCAATAAGATCTGAGATAGTCTCAATTTTTATAGTTTGACCATTTGATTTGAATTCAAATGGTGATGGAATGACTTTTGAAGGTGGATTTTGTGTTAAAAACTCAATAATTTCATGTGGTTTCTTTCCCTTAGTAATCACAATTTCTGTTTGTTTTTTCGCATAATCCTCCGTTAATTCATGAATTGCTGTAAGAGAAGATTTATCTGAATCATATTGAAATTTATTATTCATACTAAATAGAATAATAAAAGCTTTGATAAAACTTAAATAGTCTCTTTGGTTATAAAATTCATACCTTTTAGATTTTTTTTTAAAAAAAAAGTAATTTAGTAAATATTTCTATTTATTTATATTATCAACATAATATAAATAAATAAATAAATATAAAAATAAGAAATTAATCTTACTTGAACAATGATTTCGTGTCATCTAATTTATTGTAATATCCTTTCCCATCTACCGATCGAATAAAATTAGAATATTCTCCAGTCATTTTTAATTCTTGTTCATTAAAAGCATGTACTATGACCGTGTATTTATCATTTGCTATGTCACGATATATATTCACTAATGTATAAATTTTATAATATTTATCAACCGATCCTAATAATAAATAATAAATGAAAAATTTTGAATAAGTAAATAAATAAATAAATAAATAAATTTAAAAATAAATAATAAAATTTAAAATAAATAAATAAAAAATAAATAAAAAATAATAGTAAATTACTTTCTCCTTCCCCTTCAACAGATAAACAATCACTTTCAAATTTCATTGATCTTATCCTGGCTCCAAGAGCTTTTTTCAATGCCATGCGCCCTTTTTAATTAAGAATAATATATTAATATCATAGATTATTATTAATTATTATGTTTTAATTTATTGTTATAGAAATAATTGTAACAATTAACTTACCAGATTGATCCACATCAATCCTTCTCTTTCCTTTATTAATATTTGTCTGAAGAGAAGTTACACCATTTGCCGAGTTTGGTGGGTTTGCCAAGTTTGCCGAGTTTGTTGGGTTTTGATTACGAAAATATTTTATCAGACGTGCCTCAGGTTTAAATTCTCTACCATGTCGCTATTAATAATGATTATTATTATTATAAATAATTAAAATATTATATTTAGAAATGTTAAAAATATATATAAATATATATAAATATATATATACCTCATCCCTCATGAACATCATTTGTTCATATTTCATTCGTTTGGTTTCCTCTTGCTCCAACTCAGAAGAATTAAGCTTTCTTTTCTTTTTCTTTAATTTACGATGAGTTGGCATTATATTAGGATTTGATGAGTCCGAAGGATCTGCCGGAATGATCCATTCAGGAACTGAATTAGGATCCAAATCTAATTTAGGTTGTAATAAAACCTTTTTTCAATTCATTTTAAAAAAATAAAAATATAATATAAAATAAAAATAATATTAATAAAACCAACCAAAAATTAGTTAAAATAATAAAATAAATAATAATTAATTAATTCAATTAATTTAATCTTACAAGCAACTTAGCCTCTACTTGTAAGGCTTGTTCATGTGACCAGTTAGAGCCAGTTGACTTGTTTAATCTTAGTATATCTTCCCTAAGCGAGTCATCATTTTTTCGTAGTAACTGTCTTTTCCCATCACATTGTGGGTTCTGCCTATGGTCCTTAAACTCCACAACAACGCAGCCTAGATTAATTATTTTAATTACTATATTATTTGATTTAATAAATAATAATAATTTATCATAATATTAAAAAAAAAAAACAACTTACCTTCATAAAATTTATATTTGTCGACGGTTAGGTCACTTGTTCCGTCCTATCATATAAAATATGTGAGTACTAATACAAACTTGTATCACCATTTTACTTCTATGAATTTTCGTTTCTGCTTACTAAATTCCTGAAGTCAATGGTTTTATCGGATAAGTGAGCGTGTAAAGAAACTTCAAGATTATATAAATCTTGTTGTTCCATGATATTAGAGAATGCGGAGAAAAAATTGTTTGGATTTACTGATTGGGATACAAAATTACATATATATCTTATCATCCGAATTGTATTTTTTCGTGTTCCTCATTTTAATCTATTTTAAGGTAAGTGTAAAATGTTTTCTTGATATAGACATATATATAAAGTATTTAAAGAATATATGCATATATGTAAAGTACCTAAAGAAGAATATTAAAGACCAAATTTCAAGATTTATTAATTCTGATAATTATAACTTAATCTCATTATTTTGACATTATTTTGACGCACGTTGTTTTTAGTTGATGAAATAACAAAATCTTGGCATTATTATTATAGTGTAGTGTATAAAAAATAGATGTAAATTATTTTATTTATTTATTACAAAAAAATGTTAAAAGTAAATAATTATTAATATGTTATCCATCAATTCAATCAATTCAATCAATTCAATCAATCAATTTAATTTAAGCAATCTAGGCAATTTAATTTAAAACATCAAAACTGAAACATGATATAGATCAATAGTAAATGGTGTGGTGTTAGGTGACAGATTGAAATTGAATTGATTCCCAAATTCCAATTTTATATTAAAGGGAAAACTGACAATGGTGTCACGTTTTATTCATCGTGACACATGATAAAAGTGATTATTTGAGATAAAAAAATATAAATTTATCAATAAATTATTTATCTCAATTAATATAAATTTTTTTTTATTCTCTTTCCTCAAAGTAAAATGGACCCTGACGATAAGGTTATACATATATCGAATTAACTATGAATATTAGTAATTATATATATTAATATTTCCATTTCTAAATTATTATTATTATTATTATTATTATATATCATTATTATTATTATTATTATTATTATAGTTTCCTCAAAATGCTGAGGAATACTTGCGTCAAAGTCAAACCATTAGGACCAAAGCATACGAGACTGCCCTACAAAATTTTCAAAAATTGGTAAATTTTTAAATTAATCAATTGATTAATTGATTCAAATAATCAAAATTTATTATTATTGTTATTATTTAGGTTTTAGAAATGAAAGATTATCCTTGTCACATTCATTCTTTTCATATTAAAGGCACCAAAAGAACTCGTCAATCACTTTTTGAATCAGTTATCAATCCAGCACTTGGAGCTAAAACTTTTTCAAAAATTCTTAATGAAATTAATATCGCAGCCGATAAATTACAAAGGCTTGATATTTTTCAGTATCCAATTTATATAGAATTCGATTGTAGTAAAGATCCTTTGGCTCAACCAGATGCAATTGATGTGATATTATCAGTGGAAGAGAAAAGTCGATTTTGGATAAAGACTGGAACTGAGATTGGAAATGATTCTGGTAGTGCGGTAAATAATAATAATAATAATTTTTAATCAATTTTTTTTTAATTGGGAAAATTTTTTAATTTTATTATTAAAAAAAAAAAAAAAAAAATTGAATTATTAAAATTTAAAAATTTAATTATAACAAAAAGAATATTTCTCTAAATATTCGTAATGTATTTGGTGGTGCCGAAACATTGGAGGCATTTATGTCTGCCAGTACTCAAACTTCTCATGTATTTGAGGTAAATATATTTAATATATATATCTAATATTATACATTTAATATTATACATTTAATATTATATTTAATATTATATTTAATATTATATTTAATATTATATTATATTTTATTAGTTTTGTTTAGCAAAACCAATTAATGGAAATCCAGATTCCAAGATTGATATTACTGCTTTTAGTTTAACTAGAAACAATCAAAATTTTAGTTCTCATGATGAAATCTTACGTGGTGTTGCATTAAGATGGAGAGTATGTTTAATGATTAAGAAATTCATTTTTTTTTTTTAATTATATATATACCTATATAATTATAAAAATATATAAAAAAAAAAACATAAAATATATAAAATTATTCAAAGGGACTTTCTCGACTTGGTTTTCATGAACTTAGTTATGGTTCAACTTGGAGACAAGTTTGTAATATTGCTCAACAAGCTACATTAAGGTTAAGTATCTTTATTTATTTATTTATTCAGTTTTCATTTATTATATTGACTATGAAAAAATATTTAAAATATTTTTAAAAAATTAAATTTTTGTAATTTAGTATAAGAGAATCAGCAGGTCATTCCTTAAAATCATCTTTGACACATAATTTTATACGAGATAGAAGAGATGATATTATGTTACCATCTCGTGGATATTATTTGAGACTCTTTCAGGTTTTTTATTATTTTTATTTTTATTTTTATTTTATTTTTATTTTTGTCAATATTTTATTTAAAAAAATTTTTGAATAATAGGAAATTGCTGGATTGGGAGGAGATGTTTGTTTCCTTAAAACAGAAACGGAAAGTCAATTAAATTTCCCACTTGGAAAAGGATTTGTAAGATTGCTTTTATATTTATATATTTATAATAGAATTAATTTATTTATATAATTAAGAAATAATTGAAGGTTAAAATATAATTAATAAGTATACATAATTTTTATATTAATATTTCTTTTGTTATATATAAGATTTTAAGTACATCTTTAAGGAATGGATTATTATTTCAAACAGATGGTCAAAAATCAAAAATTAGTGATCGATTTTTTCTTGGTGGAGCTCAATCTATAAGAGGATTTAAATTAAACGGGATTGGTCCTCGAGAAGATAAAAGTTAATATTTATAATTTATCACTTTAATTATTCTAATTGTTACTATTTTTTTTTTCTTTTAATTGATAGATAAATATTAAATATTAATGATTAATTGGATATTTTAGAGGATTCACTGGGAGGTGATATTTATGTTGCAGGTGGGTTAAGTCTTTTCACACCTTTGCCCAAATTACATCAACATCCAGTCAAAGGACATTTATTTTTAAATGGAGGAAGCTTGTTACAATTTAATCCATGTAAGTATTTTTGTGAGTTGATGTATTTTGTGAAAGAAGATAAATTTAATTAATTATTAATTAATTAATTAAATGAGTGTTCTATAATGTCTTAATTTATTTCTTTTGGTAAATCATTAGCTCAACCACTTCTCAAAAGTATCAAGGGTCTTAGTAAAGCACCCAGTGTATCCGCAGGTATAGGAATTGTTTATCGAAGCAGTATTTTACGATTAGAAGTGAATTTCTGTTTACCATTATTAGCAACAACTACTGATAAATTACAAAAAGGATTACAATTAGGATTAGGATTTAATTTTTGGTAAAAATTGAGAGGGAGGAATAGAATAACTGATAATAGAATAATTATTTTTATATATTTATGTATATTTTTTTTAAAAAAAACAATTTTATTTGTAAGTAAATTATAAAAAGTATTGTGAATTTACAATTGGAAAATTTAAAATTATTTTTGGCAATATTAATATATATTGATATATGTTTATTTTTGTACATTTAACAAAATTTAAAAGCATAACCTAAATTATATGTTTCAACCTTCATATTTTATCTTTGATTTGTTCAAGTATTTCTTTATAGAACTACTACAAGTGATGGTGTATAAAATTTTTTTTAAAATTTTCTCTTTTAACGATGATTATTGTTTTTAATATTTTTCTGTTTCATGATCAAGAGGATCCACGTCTCTCTAAGTCACAACAACCAAGTAAACATCGTCAATAGTCATTTTAAGTTTTCCTACAGCAGAAACCTTCTTCACGAGTTACCAAATAATGTTGCATTCCGTTGTCGATATCTTCGTTTTCGTTTTGTCAACTTAGAAGGCAAAAACAATATTCCATGTTGTCCAGAAGTTTTTCTTGATGAATCATATTGTCATTTACATCATATTTCGCGCAATACGTGGGTTCCCATCAAGATGTTGTCTTAGCACCTGAACATGGTCCATTGGTAGTAATTTTTGGAGTAATTACTGATGATTATTGTATAGATGAAGAATAATATTATCACGAATATGGGGGATGCTAATAAACTCACTTTTCTTTTCTTCTGAATAATACGCGGTTTACTCTGGTGCAACTCCTATGGAAGTCTTTCCTACTAAGAAAAGCAAAGATAACTTCGGCTATTTCTAGGGCATGATGTGTATTTATTGTTATCAATTAATATGCAGAACATTTTTTTAATATATTGGATAACTAATCCTAGAGCAGTGATCAACAAAATATTGCGCAATTTTATTTTTTATGGTAATATAACTAAATGATTTATTTTACTAAATAAAGTATTGATATATTGGGAACTTGCAACTAATGCATAAAAAATTCAAATACATTGCTGTCACAATACAATGATACAAAAATACAAAAAAAATCCTAGTTATTCATCCTGAGAAGGTATCGGAGGATGTGAATAGGATCTCTTTCACCAGGTGGGAAAATAAAGTATTAATCAAATTTTTAAGTTATAGTAAATAATAAAATGATTTTGAATAGTTAATACAAGCGATAAAGTAAAATTTCAGATGTCATCTTTCATGACCTCTAATAATATAATCAAGCGAGCATGCTATTAGATAGAGACCGATAAACCCATACCCAATATACTTTGTATATATTAAAATAAGAGGCGTTGTAAAATGTAATAAAACAAATGGTAGAGCAGTAATTTTATCCTTTAAACTATACAGCACAAGACAATCCCAATAATGGAATGGTGAAGTGAGACATTGAATTGTCACATCAATAAAAAGTCTTTTCTTGCCGTTGGTTCTTTCGTAATAAATTTGCTTGAAATCTGAATACCAGCGAGAAGCAGTAGTATCAACATTTGTTGACGTGGTTACCCAAAAGACAGAATTTTCATCAAAACAACGGCCAATAAACAGAATCCAAACTGCAAGTATCGACTTTGTCGCATAGTAATGATTCGAAATGAACAGGCCGAACATAAGAGACTGAACTGTGAAAACGCTGATTATCAGTGCTGAATTCTTGTTTTTTAAAAGGACAAGAAATGCCAACACAGCCAAAATTCCAAGGCCGGAAAACAGACAAGTTGGAATTAAATCTAATCGGTCCACATTGAAATTGTGTGCAAGTAACAAAGCTTGAAACAACAGACTTAAGAAATGATGAAAAGTGGCAATGTGACCAGCACGACACCCAAAATAATTTGTAATGAATGGGAAAATAAATGCGGTGAGAGGAAGGGTTAAGAATACCACAGATACAATCACAAATTTTAATTCCAGATCAAGGATGAAATGTGTGTATAGGATGATGGCTATTGGAACACCAAAAGAGTTTAGCATGAACAAAACAATGTCCATCTTTGCATTTATTCGCTGGTATCGTTTCCCATAAGTAATTGACAGGAGGATTGGTACAAAGCTGTTAATTACTGCGTCATATACATCTTCGGAGGAAGTGTATCCGTCAATAGAGCCCGCTTTAACGTGTCGTATTTTTTGAAATAAAAGAGCTAGAAAAAAGAGCTAGAAAAAACAGCAAGTAAACCATAACAAATTATACTAATGACTAGTAGTTATTGAGCAAAAGCAACAGATAAGTCATTAATAAAAAAAAACTAGCCATTTAATTTTTTTTCAGTACCATATCTGATATGAATAAGGTTGTGACTGACATTTTTTCATTTTTTAAAAAATAAAAGATTTTTATTTTCATAGTGAAATACTGTGGTCCTGGCAGTAGATGTTTATATACACTAAACACTACCGTTTGAGGTTATAAATTAACCATCGACTAACCAGCCCCCGGATAACATATACAAGGTTATCATATAAAGAAAATTTTAAGGTCGTGTTTACTTAGTATTAGCCTTTTTATCTAGTTTATCAATCAATAATTATATTTATTTAGGCAACATAAACACTTTAATTAAATATTAAATATTCGACAAAACTAGTAATTTATCCAGTAAAAGTAATATATTATATTACATAATAATAAGAATCATAATGATTTATTATTATATGAATATATATATATATAAATTTAATATATTATATGAATTCCACTAGAATATAAACACATTTTCTGATCGAAGGAATAATTGTACCACAAATACTAAAACTGGTCAGGTATATAATTATTATCTAAGCATCGTCAATAGAAAAAATTATTATAATTTCAAAATTATATTTTTATTAGTAGGATTGTTGAAAAAGTCCGTATTGCGGTTTTAAATGTTCACTCGCCAAATACCTATTTAGATTATCACATAACAGTAAACTATTATTTATTTTTATTTTTATTTATTTATTTATTTGATTAAATCCACAAATTTTGATTGAAGAAAAGAATACATTAACAACAATGTAACCGTTACGTAAACATATTCGATGTTTAGCGAAAGCAGCACAAATACCGTTAGAAGAATAATTTTATAACAGATATAACAGATATATGTGTGTTCGTTTGCGTGTACATATTGGATCATAATGGAATAATTGCATTTTTTTTTATTATTTTTGTATTCATAGAACGGAAATATACATATGATGTATTATATATTATATGAATAAAAACTTTTATAAAATTTCAAAATATTTTTCAATGTAGAGATGAATAAATAAATTTATTTTAAAGTCAAGAAAAATAACGTTTGAAATTTCTTTATTGATACCTATATTTTTTCATTCCATTTTTGATTGTATATATATACCATATATTGAAGATTTAACATATTTTTCTGCGTAAAAGTAAAAATCATAATGTGAGAGAAACAAGTAATTATTTCACAAGTTACAATTTCAATGAATAAAGCATTTATTTTCTATATATTTCCATATCTATAAAGGATATTTTTTAAAAATCATATGAATGAATTCTTATTAAAAACTAATAATTCATATTGATATAAAGAATAATATTATTTTAGTATATTGTCTTAAATTATAAATCATTCATTATTTATAAATTATTTGTCTTAAAGTCTTAAATTATAAATCATTCATTATATTAATTACTAGCAATGCTTACCTTTTATTCATTTAAAGTATAAATTGTTTTTGAAAGCTAAATACATAAAATTCGATTACAAAAAAAAAGTATACAAATTAAGATTAACTAAAATTAACATAAATAAATCTAGGCTAATTTATGGGCTAATCAGATAGAAAACTATTCAAGACTCCACATTAGTGGTAATACATATTATGTAACACATATGTGATTAGCCTAAATGGATATCTGTTTTATCTGTTAAAATACATAGTAATTTTATCCATAGATCACATCACTATCTCACATATGTTTATATTATAAAAAGTATCTATCATATAATGTATTTGTCTACTAGGCAGATGTGTATTTTCTTATATCAGGAAATTTTATTAGGCAAAAATTTGCACAAATTTTTATCTAAATTTTTTTTTTTTTTGAATTCACTCACAATTTGTAAGGTACAAAGTAATTTTCTACTAAAAGATTTCTAATATAGAAAGAAAGGTCTTGTTCTTGAATACAAAATGATATGTGTTTCATTCTGGTAAAAGCAATATTCACGGAGTTATTTGAGTTGTTACTATTTTTTTTTCTCTTCTTATTTGGTGTGCTTTTATACCATCACACCTTGTTATCTTTTTATTTTGATTAAATAATCTCTCTCTTATTTATCATAACCTTCTTTTTATTTTTCCCCAATTTAATTATCAATAATTATTATCACTTACCTTTACTTATCTACACTTATCTTCATATATCCACTTACCTTGTACCACCTACTCCCTTTCATCAAATTTTCTATCCTATTATTGCTCTTAATAAAATGTAATCTTTATTTCTTTCTTTACTACTTATATTTTAATTTTATTTTGGCTACACCAATTATGTGCCATGTAATTTCTATGCTCTATACTATGAAACTGTAGATACTGTAAAGAAAACACTGAAATACCTATCATATATCTATCAAAAATCCAATAGGCATAAGATAGGTGTCTGATATTAACAATTATGTAATATATCAGGTACCCGATTGGTGAGATCAAAATGCAAAAGTTTGGGTACTTATTGAATCCATATTAGTTTCATATCGGACATTAATATTTTGACATTTTATTCAAATTCATTATTCATATATCGGACACCCGATTTTATTTATTTTTTTGTTAGGTATATATTTTTTATAAATTGACCATAGTGTATCCTTATATATTAAGCATGATATATCTTTGTATATTGAATAGTTTTTTTCCCTCTATCAAGTATCTATCGATATCTTTTATTTATATATATATTTTTTCACTTTTTTATAATAAATTAAAATTATGATTATTTGCAAATAAAAAAAAGATAATAAAATGAAATACATTTATTATAAAAAATATAAAATGAAATATATTATATATACTATATAAAATGTTTATATTTAAATTTATCTAATTATTTTTTGAATTTTTTTTAGGATTTTTTCTTTTTTCTTTTTCTTTTCTTTTTTGTTTTCTTTTTTTATTATTAGTTTCTACTTCATGATTATTATTGTCATCACTATTATTATATTATTATCTTGGTCAGTAGTATCTAGGTCATAGTGTAGAATATTAATTTTATTTATTTTTATTATATTATTATTTAATGTATTTATTGTTTATTTGTAATTTATGTTAATCGAAGATCATGTAACAGGTGACTCACCAGGTTAATTACCAGGTAAATCACCTAGGTAAATTACCTGTTGTACGTAACAGGTGGATCACCAGGTTGATTACCTCTTGCTAAAATTGGTAAATCATTAATTTGGTAGATCGTTGCGCGC